ACTTAAGGCTTGCCCCGCTCGCCCAAGAATGCCAAGCAATCCACTTGTAGATCACTGTGTTTTCTGACCACCAGGGGACTGTCAGATTGCTGTTGACCCAAGGCAGACAGTCACTGAATGACATCAAGACAAGTATATAGAGATGGCAAAATGATGCTTTCTTCCCTGTCTGATGGTACTCCACCAACTGTTTATGTTGTGTACTATTTTCAAGGGTTGTTGAGCCCTGCAACCAAACTCAGTCATCATCAATGTCTACAACATTATTTTACTCAACTGCGTTTTCATTCTTCTATTCCTCGAGATGCATGGCTCTGGCTTGCAATTCAAACATTTTCCTTTTTGCTCCAAATTAAAGTCCGTTCGCGTTCACCTTGCCGGTAGGAAATCCGCTGTAACTCTGATATATATACTACATTCGATTCTGGAGTTTCAATGCAGTAGTGCGTAGGTTCTAATGATGCAGCCCAAGTTTGCGCCCGACTCATACTTGCAAAGTTAGCTGTATGTCTCATAAGGAAAGTATGGGTGTTTCTCTGGTAGCAAAGTGTGCAATTATCAACACAGGCGTCCAGATACGCCCCTTGTACTAACTTTGACAGATGGCATGCTGCGAGCAGGTTCTACTATATAGGGCGGTGGCAAGGTGAACGTGAACAGACTTCAGGTTTACATTTTACCACTTTTCATACAGCTTTGCGCACAATCCTACAACCCTCTGAATCTGGTGATCATTTGCAAACTTCATGTCTACGCACAATCCCTTTTACTCCTGCTCCTGGATATACAGTGCTCTGTATATCCTCAGTGCCGTTTTGGTGTTTGTGTACAGCTTCTTAAAAAAGCAGCAAAAGCACAAAAATACCAAAAATTAATCTAGCAAAAGTCTTTCGCCAGCTCCTCTGCCAATATTGGCTCACCGACAGATGCTGACTTTAAGACACTGACAATTGTTTTCCAAGTGTAGGCACCCTGGCTGATTGCTCCCATTGTTCGAGAACGGCAACAAATCGATCAAAGGATTTGTCTTTGTCACTCTCTATGGCCTTCCTCTCACCTTTGCTGAGATCCAGCTGAATAGCAACTTCATTCCACTTGTAGGGAATTATTGCTGCGACGCGATTTGCCAGGTCGCGGAGTTTGGGAAGGGAAGTCTTTGAATGAACAACAGGTTCTAAGAGAAAAGAAGGAGAAGTTTATCACAAGAATATAAAGCTCATGCACTATATACGTATACTACAGTGGTACCTACGATAAGGACCCATCCTAGATTGGGACGTCCTTTTACAAAGGACACTTGTTTCAACCCCATGCTAGTATTTTAGTGTATAAAGGGACGACCTCTCCCCATAACTGTACATGATGTATGTATACCTACCAGTTCCACTGAGCCACAATGTCTGGTCAAGAGTGAGATAGTCGAATACTCCACTGTTGGCAGAGCATATCCACTGCTTCCCGTTACTGGAGAGGTGTGCAACGTGTAGCTGGGTGCTGCAAGAGGCATCCTGTCTGGGACAGAAGAAAGCAGAGGTTGGGTGAGTGTCTTTGTGGTGGGTGTTCTCCAGGGCTGCATCGACTGCGGCAAAGATCTCGGTCTTGATGGCCTGGCAATGCTGAGCTAAATCCTCTCGCTCCATCTTGCTGGTGTCTATGTTAACACACACTGCAAATGAAGAAAACCTATCGATGAATGTCACTGAACCAGGCCTGCCAACTTTGGTGAATTCAATACAGTTGCGAGAAATTGAGTGGTGCTGTGCGGGGGATGCGTTTGAACTCCTTCTGCGTGGTTTGATGGGCGGTTTCTTCACCACTTTCCAGCCAGAGTGGGACTGAAGGTGGCACACACTGCAGCAGTAGACACCGGGAGGAGCCCAGACAGTGGGGAACTCCACCGCCAGAGGAGCTATCTTGGTGGTTCTGGATGACATGAGGCACACGTTAATCTTGGTTTCAGTGGTCTTGCTGAGAATTGCCGGAAAGAAGTACTCATTCGCGGACAATTTGGAGACGACAAAGAGGTTTTGGAGCAATGTAAGAAAATCTGCAGGTGTAAAAATCCCATCGACGTAGTGGTCCTTGAATTCCTTGAGACATTCGAGGGTGAGGATTCCACAGTCGCGGAAGTTTTTCCACTGACCGCCCATTGCCACACATGTAGCTTTTGTCGGATCAGCTTCTGCAGCTTTCAGGTGGTACTGCTTCTCCACGAGCCTTGAGAGGTTGCCCATGGGGACTTGCGGATTGGTGAACACGACTCTGGGAAGAATGCTCTTTTTGTAGAGGAAAATGTTGAGCTTGTCAAAGAAGGCCAGTGCAGCATCGAGTTCTCCCTCGGCGAACCCCAGCGTGTCTGAAATATGGACGCACGCGTCTTTGCTCAGAACATCTCTCCCGTGGTTGTGAGCTAGTCTTTCCAGGATCATCTGGAGGATGAACCACCATATCGGAATCTTGTGTTGTGTGGCTCCCTGTTCAATGCTGGCTCTGATTTTACGCGCCTCTTTCTCGTCGTCTTCGTCTGGAGTTTTCGCATTGACTGGGAAAACTATCTCCTGCATGCCATCATTTCTGAAAACGACATTTTTCTCAAAGTGAGGCGACGCTATTGCAGCAAACTTCTTGTTCTTTTCTTCCAGTGTCTCTTCGCAGTCATCTGCTAAATCCCGGTGCGTTCCGACGGCAATGATCTTGGAGGACTTTCCTTCCACTTCGTGCAGGCCTCGAAGCATGGTCTTGAAGGCTTCGGCAGTAGTGAGTGTGGCTCGCTGGCTGGGACCAACCTGTTTCCCTCTCTGGTAGAGGTCGTTGCGTGGGTGCTCGTCAAGCTTCTCGCAGAGCCGGAGGACAAAGAGGGTGGCTGACGTGTCGGATGCGAATATCGGGATGAGGTCCCAGAACGGTTGCTGGCCACCTGTGTCGGTTAGGTAGATTAAATCCATGTCCAGGAGACGGCGTGACGATTTCCCACCACCCACTAGTTGAGTCAACTTCTGGATCACGCTATCAATAACTGCTGTGCCATCTTTCTTCTCTACATTTGCGGCTTCATCCTTCTTTCGATTTGCAGCTTCATCCTTCTTTCCTTCCCCACCAACACCCTTCTCTTCCTGACCATCACCCTTCTCTTCTCCACCAACACCCTTCTCTTCTTACCCTTCACCGCCTTTTCCTCTTCCCAACCTCCTTTCTCTTCTTTACCCTCCCCCCCTCCTCCCCCTCCCTCTCCCCTTCCTCCTCCCCCTCCCTCTCCTTCTCCCTGCTCCCCTCTCTGTCCCTCTTTTAAACTTGATAAAACCTTATCCAGTTCCTCCATCCCCTTTCCCTTGGCTTTGAGGTCTTCATACAGAATAGGAACCGCTTCTGCAATCATTTCCTGGAACTCTTTGGCAGGGATTTCGCTCCACTTTTCCCCCTCCTTACCCACACGTATCACTCGAATTGCTCGCTCGGCGCAACCAGTGCTGTGTCTATCTTTTGGAGGCGGTATTCCAAGGAGAAGGTAAATGACTGAGGTTTTGCCGACACCCGCAGGTCCTTCCACAATCACTTTGACGAGTGTCACGTTCACATAGCCCTGCTTCATGGCTTCTTCAATATATTGTCGTGCCTCTTCATCTGTAAAGAGATACACAGGGGTATGGGAGTTATCTATATTTTTGGCAAGTTAGAGAGCCTCCTAGTAGTCTGAATTGCGCATTTTCCATTATTTCATAGCTATCAGATGGGCAAAGACTGTCCTCAATATGCATCTAATTACGTGTAAATTCGCACTTGCATTTGCTTGCCAAAAATGCTTTATAGTGTATGAATGCTTGACAGGCTCGGTTCATGTTACAATGAAAAGCTGGGGTCGAGAGGTATGCCATGAAAATAAAGTGCAAACCCTCGGCTAACTGCGCATGTGCGGTACCGCTGGATGGGCCGGGCTGTTGACGTTTACCCTGCGGTCTAGTCTCCCGCTAGTAGCTCGCGGAGAGTCTGACACGGGCTAGCTACAGTTAGAAAGCATGCGAGTCGATACACGCCATTCGTTGTGACTTTCTGCGCCACCAAGCTATACAGAGCTAGCGGATCAGGTCGCAGTAAGCCCAGTGCAATTATGCATGTTGGGTTTTTTCGCTTGTCGAGAGCGACGCACTAGCACGGTGGCGGACCACGTGGCGTGGCCAAACCGCGGACCGTCAATAAGCGGTGCGCATGCGTATAATTATTGGACGGTGCTGGCCGGCCGCCCACCTGCTGCTCTGTGTACCTCGGAGGCGCAAGAAGCCACAACGAAGGTGTGTATCGACTCCCGCATGCTATCTACTACTGTAGCTAGCCCGTGTCAGACTCTCCGCGAGCTACTAGCGGGAGACCACAGGTAAACGTCAACAGCCCAGTTCATCCATTCTCAAAGGTACCGCACCGCGTATGCGCATTTAGCCGAGGGTTTTGCACCTCGAACGCAGGTCGTTTCAGGAAAATCACTCTTTTACTTTTCAGGCGTTCTGAAGCCGCTGGTAACGCTAATAGGTCGCCTCGTAGCCTGTAGTTCCAGAATAAGCATTGACACTGACACTGATACGCACGCACGCACACACACACACACACCGATTTCTTCTCCTGTCTTCATGTTGAGATGCAGGCCAACTCTCTCGGCTAGTCGTGACAGTTTTTCTCGAATCTCACCCATCGACGGTCTCTTGGTACAGTCATCGCTCCAACATCTGGAGCAAGTGGGGAGAATATATACTTCATTCACACACAAGGGAGATGTATAGGAGGGAAAGATGAAAGATTTAGGGGGAAAAAGGAAAGGTGGGAGCGAGAGCAAGATACAGGAACGAGTGCAGCGAGATAGAAGATGTTACCATTCCATACTCCAACTGTAGTCAAAGTATTAAGGATAGTTTGTTTGTCTATTTTTCAACTCATGCGCCTATGAAAAATGCGAAATCGCGGATACCTTTTTTGGGGTAAGGGATTTGTAACAGTGATGAGATAGGGATTAGTAAAGCAAGATAGGAATGAGTACAGTAAGACTGAATGACTATTCTATACTCCAACTTTAGTCAAAGTATTAAGAATAGTTCGTTTGTCTCTTATATTACTTATGTCCCTGCAAACAATGTGACACCCCTATTGGAAAGTGGTGGGGGGTTTGGTCGTGGGACAGTGAAAAAGAGGCGAGACAAGAAGGATTGATAAAGTGAGATAGGGATAGGTGCAGTGAGTTTCAACATGTGGAGGAAGTAGGGAGAATACTAAGATAGGAGGAAATAGGAAAGGTTGTTGGAGCAAGATAGTGGAAAAGAAGAAAGGTGGGGGCGAGATAAGAGAATGATTGGAGGGAGATAGGGGGAAAACACGAAAGGTGGAAGCGAGACAGCATTTCATGAGGTTCAAAGAAAACAGGGAGGTATATAGTGGTGGAGTGATAATTGTCTCACTTGTGCAGGAGATCGGCCAGACACTGCGGAAGATTCTGGATCATTGGAGGTCGCCCACCTGACAGGGGAATATATTGGGAAACCTGCTTTGAAATGAGGTTTCGGATACGAATATGGAACACATTTTTCAGCGCATTAAAGGCAATATGGCAGTGTATATACAAGGGCTAAATTTAGACACTGTTACTAAAAACAGAAACTTAATTGCATTCTTGCACTGGCCCTATAGCCCTTACGTACTGACACATTCTCTTTAAGCTTAGTGCGCAAGGATCTGATTGGCTGAAGGTCACATGACCAGCACTAAATACATACATACTTACCGCTAGCTATCCTGAACATGATGGAGTGTACAGGTACTCCCTTATTTCTGAGGCCAACGATGAACGGTTTTCGTCTGGTGATCATCTCCCACAGGACAACTCCGAAACTGTAGACGTCACATTTTGGAGTGTAATTGGTACCTTGGTGGGAGGGAAGGAGAGAGAGTGGGAACAGGGGAAGACAAAAAAAGGAGCGAGGAAGAAGAGAGAGGAAGAATAGGCGGAAGGAGAAAAAAAGGAATGCGAATTAAGGTGTTGTGTCAGTGGCTCAATCACAATCAAAAGCTGTCGTTGACCAAAAAATGCACTTACCTCCACATCATTCATTCGCAAGCATAAGTACATAGTCAAAGGTTATAGTTCTACACTAGACTCGTTTACACACACAACAATGAGGTTTTGTTGTAGTAAATTACTATCAGTTGAGAGGGGCTTACCCTTTATGACTTCAGGGGCCATGTAGAGAGCAGTTCCCACAGCGTTGGTGAGTGTGTGTTCCAACTTGCAAGCAGTGGCAAAATTGCACAACTTTAGCACTCGACCATTTTCAAACAGAAGAATGCTACAGAGGGAGGAGGGAAAGAGAACCTGGCACCTGTGATACCACAACTCATGGTTCAGTTTCATTTCAGGCCTCTAGTATGGATACGAAAATTTCCCCTCTTTTCCTCATTCTCTAAGACTCCCTGACAAAAGCTGGTTCTACACATCGTAGCAACACGTCCTGAACTGCAAACTGTTCAGGACAAGGCAAAGGGAGAGATGACCTAAACTTGGCGGTAAATCCAGGGTACACTAAAGGAAGAGGATATCAGGACGCCCCGAACTAAAACCGGGACAGGGTGCAGGTGTAGAGGAGCTGACTTGGAGGGTTTGATGTCTCGATGGAGGACTTCTTTCTTGTGGACAAACTCGAGAGCCATGACCATTTGCAGAGACCAGTTCATGACATGGTCCACTGTGTAGGTCAGGTCTCTCCTCTCATGGAGGACTGAGGAGAGAAGGAAAGGAAACGGGTTGGAGGACAAACACTTCACATAAATGAAAAGCACTAAAGTGCAAACCCTCCGCGAACTGCGCATGCGCGGTACCACTAATTTATGGGCTGGGCTTTTAGTATGCGTTTAATTGACAACACCTAACTTATAGGACAAGAACCAAATTTGCTGCAACACACTCAGTGTTCAACTAAAATCAGCCACTTTGAAAGTGAAAGGAAGGAGGCTTACTTGTAGGCAGTGTGTGCAAGCTCCAAGCTGTATATATAGGTTAGACGCGGAAGCGAGGTGTCTACGTTACATTGCAACCCGAGGGGCTGTGGAATGTTGGCGTCCCGAGCGCAGCGAGGGCGCTACCCACATGCCCCGAGGGTTGTAATGTAACGTAGACACCGAGCTTCCGCGTCTAACCGGTTTAGACCGAAGTATCTGATTGGTGTTTGCGCGTTCAAATGGGTAGCAACAAGCTAGCAACACTGCGCTCATTCTTACCTTCAGATGGAACAAGACGCTTTTTTTTACGTGTGAGATTTTGTCCGACTCTCCGAGGAGACAGCCCCCGCCCCCCGTCAAAAATCGTGTACGTCATCATAAAACGCTCTCATTGGTGGTGCGCGTTTGAAAGGGTTAGCAACGCACGGCAACGGCCCAATGTGTTTGTGTATCGCCAGAGCTGAAGAAGCTGACGCTTTTTTCGTGGAATATTGACGTGATTTCTGACTTTCGCAAGCTCCGGAGACTGTCCACAGACTTCTTGCAGGTGCACTGCGCATTTTAAAAGAGCTACTTTACAAGTCGCGCCTTCTACGCTTACCGAACGCGGAATCGGCCAGTTTGTGCAGATAACGGCTTTTGAGAATAGCCACTTTGTACGGGGAGTTTGCTGTAGACCACCTGCAAACGCCATTAGACACCTGAAACGTGGTGTCTATGAAAAATAAACCCCCCGCAATTCTGTAATCTGATTGGTCAATTGCGCGTGACTGCGGTCTAATATTATGTAGTCAACTAAATTTAGAGCTACTTACATACACTACACATTGTACACACAAAATGGTAGATGGGCATGTGTAAAAGTGTTGATAAGTGAGTTAGCCAGATTGTATGGCAAGTTTGGCAAGTTGAGGGATGGACTGACCTTTCCCCAGAGAGAACGGAGCAAACTCCATCACAATGAATGGCTGCAGGAGACAGAGAGAGACAGTCAAGAACAGTGACAGTCTATACTATACGTCGTTGGTACCCAGACCACATAGAAAATAGAGCAGAATTTCCCACACGTGTGCGTACCCAAAACTAAGAAACGCTGAATTATCGTAAGAGGAACTTCTGCAGTTTTTAGACCACGGTAACACGCAATAGTTTAGCGGTAACTAGCGATAGCCCCGGCAACCACGCCTTCAATTCGAAAGCGTGCGGACGGCTTCTGGAGCTGTTCTTCCCACGAAGAAACCGGAACAGGCTCTTCTAGCAGCAGCGCACGAGTACTAGAGAGCTAGGAAGACGCTAGAAACGTACAGGGAAAAACGCGTGCAAACGGCCGGGCGGCGCGATCCCGAAGGGCAGCAAACGCCTACAACGGACACTGCATCGGGACGGACTTGCGCTGTAGTCTAAGCCGGTTAGACGCGTCGCCTTGGAAACTACGCGATTTAGTGATCCTCGGAGCCCTTAGTAGCGCCCTCGCTGCGCTCCGGACGCCGACAGCTCAGGCCTCCTCGGCTCACTAAATCGCGTAGTTCCCGCGGCTCAGCATCTAACCTATACATATTTCCCTCACTCTGTCATCCAGACTGATAGGTATGATGTGTGCTCCGTAGAAACGAATGATGTGCGGATGTCCGTGAACCATGGAAAAACCAGCTATCTGAGGTAACAGCAGAGAGTAGACAGAGAGAGGGGAGAATAAGGAATAGCTCAGTTGCAGAGCTGTCCACTCACCTCCTCCGAAATCCCTCCCTTCTTGTCTGCCACGATAAACTGCTTCACCGCTACGTCATTGCCGCGCCATCTCGCCTTCCTGACGTCGCCGAAGCTGCCTCGTTCCACCTCTGCTCCCTCGCACCACGTGAGCTCGTGCGGGGAGATGTGAGGAATGTCCTCCAGCAAGACCGACCCAGTTCTCTCTCCTCTCTCTCTCCCTTTCCCTCCTCGTCCTCCTGCTTCTGCTCGACCAGCCATAGTTTCACGAGGTCAGAGGTTAATTCCGGATTATCCCGTAATCTAATCCGCGCACTTTTATTCTAAGTAGTGCCCACCCTCCTTCAGCGCTGGAGGGAAGATGAGCGGCGGTAAAGGAGCTACAAACACGGTGCACGTCAAGTACCGAAAGATCCATACGTCAGACCTCAAGTATGACGACAAGGTACGGTGCTCGTAGTAGAACGTGTGTTGTACCGGCCCATTCTGTTGCGGGCCACTTGACCTTTCTCTTCTTGCCTTTCCCTCAGTTTCTGGAGAGAGGCACGTACGGAGACGTCAAGAAGGCCACCTGGCAGGACAAGAACGTGGCAGTGAAGATGTTCCCGTATGCAGAGAGGAAGGGAGGCTTTTCTGAGGAGGTCAGACCCCTGCCACCAGTATTTTCTCATTTCCTACTTCTTTTGTCCTTCTCTCCTTACTTTGCCCCTCCCCTCTTTATCCCTCCCTCTCACCCCCACACACTTTATCCCTCCCTCCCTCACCCCCACACAGCTGGTGTGTCTGACAATGCTACACGAACATGCCTACATTGTCAATCTCCATGGCGCTCATCTCGGAAACTCACAGACTGACAGAGTATGACATCATTGTACATACAGCATGACTGGCAAGAGAAGCGAGCCCACCTTAGTTGTGCAGACAGCGGAATGATGGCTTATATATGCGTATAAACGCCAAAAGTTCACGCTCACATTAGCTTGTCAGTGATTGCTAGTATGATTCTAAGAATAGCACACTGTAGTGTGAGGTGGTGACTGAGTGGTTTGTGTCCTTCTCCCTACAGCCATTCCTAGTACTGGAGTTTGCCCCATACTCACTGGAGAAAGGTAATTACACCCTCTTCAAGTATGTGTCATTCTGCCAATGTGGAATATTGTTTCAACCCACATGTAGGGAGACTTTAGTTTATGTGGATCTGTGGGAAGATTAGACAGCTGTTGTTTCTAAACTTGTATAATACCTTTTTCTCTTTCTATTTTTCACCCTCGTCTCCCTACGTCTGTGCAGTCCTCCACAAGTTTAGAGAAGAACTGGAGTACACGGTCGACAACGTGATGAGTTGGACGGTCCAAATGGTCATCGCTCTCGAGTTCATCCACAGCAAAGACATGTTACACAGAGACATCAAGCCCTCCAAGTCAGTGAAGCAGTATAGTCACTTACCCAGACCCAACACTCTTATATGGCAGTATGTAAGGGCAAAATGTTACTGAAAATTGGAAACTTAATTGCATTCTTTCACTGTGCCCCATTGTTTTTCTATATATAGTAACATTTATGATTTAGCCCTTCGTGTACTGACACATTCCCTATAATGTTCTCTGTGTGTTATTTGCCGCAGTATTCTTCTGTTTGAAGATGGTCGAGTGCTAAAGCTGTGCGACTTTGGCACTGCTCGCAAGTTGGAACACACACTCACCAACGCAGTGGGCACTTCGTGGTACATGGCGCCTGAAGTCATCAGAGGTGGGCTCATCTTCTCTCCTCTTTTTTTCTGCACCTTTTTTATTAGTCCTCTTTCTATTTTTTCTCCTTGTCGCTCACTTTCACTCACACACACACACACACACACACAACAAGTATGGCGGGGGGTGTGGGTACATAATACAAGGATATCATGGCTGTGACAGTGTGCGATGTGCATCATTGGTTGTAGTCACTTCCACTGCTTACACGCTTATCACATTACCGATGCTATCAGCTTTAACACTTAACAAGCCGCGGACACATAAATGTGTTCAGAGCCTCCATGAGTCCTTAAGAATTTTATGGGGTTATAATACTAGCGCTAATACTTTTTCTGCCCCTGCCTTTCTCTCCAATATCTCTCTCCCCCCTGCCCCAGGTACCTCTTACATGGCCAGTTGTGACATCTACAGTTTCGGAGTTGTCCTGTGGGAGATGATCACGAGGCACAAGCCGTACTTGGCGGGGACTCAGGGAAAGAGCATGGCTCCTCAGTCTGTCATGTACAGAGTGGCCACTGGTACATACAGTTAATCTCCATACACACATGCACTGGGAAACTGTTGCATTAAAGTCTGTTGCAAAATCGATGTCACGCAATATGATACACTATTTTCATGTTGCAATGACCATCACATACACCCATACAACAATTTCTGTGCCATTTATATATCTTATCTTTAGCCAAAATTTTACTGTACATTGAGAATATGGGGAAACAGTGTACCTCACGTGAATTTTGAGGAAAAGACTTACACAGATTACCTGGTCCTCCTGCAATACAAATGACCCTGATTAGAACGTTGGAGGATTAATATGAATTTTTTATTTTTATAACTGACTGTTTTTTTTCCTGATGTATGTATTGTGAAGGTGGGAGACCTCCAATGATTGCTAGACTGCCAAAGTGTCTGGAGGAGCTCATCAAAAAGTGAGTGAAGGAGAGATGAAAAGACGGGGAAGAAATAGAGAGTGTAAGTTGAGCAATATTGTATCTGTCTTGTTTTACAGGTGTTGGGATGAAGGTTCGCACAAGAGACCATCATTTCGCGAGATTAAATCTAAACTGGAAAGACTTGTCAAAGTGAGAGTGAAATAATGCATGCACCGAGTAATTAGTAGGATTTGCCTTCGCTCTGTATTGTAGACTTTGAACCCTGCCAGCCGAGGTGGCCCCGTTGGTAGAGCACCCTGCAATTGTAGCCAATTACATTATTTCTCAATTTCTCGCAGTTGATTAAGATTGAACAGGGAAGGCCGTTTATTCGAGTCAAGAAGACAGAGGAGGCGGAGTCTGGGGTGGGACAAGGGGCGGAGCAAGAGGCAGAGCAAGAGGCGGAGCCAGAGAAAACGCCGTCTCCCGAGAAGACAGACTCAGACTCGAGGAAGAATCAAGGTTCTACTGCCGACACTCAGTCTTCTCTCTCTCACTCCTCCCACACCTCGCTCGTCAGCCTCGCCCCGCCCCTCCCCTCCTCCTCGCTCTACCCCCTCCCCCACTTCCCCCTCCTCCCACATTCCTCCCTCCCCCTCCTCCCACATTCCTCCCTCCCCGTCCTCCCACATTCCTCCCTCCCCGTCCTCCCACATTCCTCCCTCCCCGTCCTCCCACATTCCTCCCTCCCCATCCTCCCAAATTCCACCCTCCCCCTCCTCCCAAATTCCTCCCTCCCCATCCTCCCACATTCCTCCCTCCCACATGACACCCTCCCAGAGCACACCCTCGCTGCCGTCTGCCGCATATCGCCCGACCTCTATCCCCAAACTCCCTCCTTCCTCCTCACACGGCCGCCTTCCTCATGATCACCACGTTACCCCCGGGGCGGCAATTACACCACTGCAGCTGAGCTCACTGTGAGCTGTGATTGTACTATTGTGTTGTGGAGGGTTGGGATTTGGCAATTTCATTAGTGTCCAGATTATAGGGGCTCTGTACTAAACCCCTCCCTTCCTCTTCCAGCGTACGGAGAGACTCCAACTGTACAAGCAGCAGTCCAGCCCGGCGGGGGAGGGAGGTCACCTGCCCGAGGCCCCGCCCACTTCCTCCGCGGACCTTCTCTCCAGCTCGTACCCCCAGACCCAGCTCTCCCCCCTCATGGAGAGACGGAGACTGGGCCGTCCCTCCACTCCCGTCTCACACACGCCTGCCGGCCCGTTCAGGGGACCATCTAGTGCGTCTCCCACCTCATTACATAACACCTCTCTCTCTCATTCCTCCCCTTTCTTTTGTATGATGTGCACATCTTCCCCTTATGTCTATTGTTGACGAATGAAGCGAGCCTACCTAGTCATCTGAGTGCGGGATTTTATTCGCGGACTGCACATACCGTAGTGTCCTACAAATACGTCAGAAAAATTGAACTTCTCACGCTCGCTCGCTAAAAATGTATCTACATAATTGTACATAATGTGGTATAATAGTAAACCCGCATTTCTGTTTCATTACGTAATGTGTTTTCCTCTCTGTCTCCCTCACCAGCTTTCTCCCCGCCAGCGTTCTCCCCGCACTCAACAAAACCTCCAACCATCACCCACCAAGACTCTGTAGCTATTGAGAGAGAAGGTATAGATACTTGTCCCCACTGTGTGTGCATCGTAAATACAAACACAGGTAGTCCTCCAACCAGTACTTGTTGCAATAGTTACATGTTTACCATCAGATATCGTTGATTGATATATTATTTTATTAGTCCCTTTTTCTTTTTCTCTTTGTCATTGATTGTGTCTGAATCGCTTATTTGTTTACCTGGATGTTTATTTGTTGTTTGGTTTGTCTGATTGTTTATTGTTGTTGTTTGTTTGTTTGTTTGTTTGTATACACCAGGAGAGGAGGAGGATGTGGTGAGTCAGAAGCAGAGACAGCAGTGGTTCCAGCAGGTAGAGGAGAAGAGCAAGAGTGGAGAGTGGGACGACGGATCTCCCCTCCTCCTCATCTGTCCATTTATCCCACTGCCATTCCGGGCACTCACTACTCCATCCCTGGACTCCATCCGGACTGGCAGGTAGCTACTACAGACAGACACAACCTCTGAATAAGGAACACCTCCGTGGGGACATCAGAGGCCTCCCTTGCTATGAAATATTAATGCCCCTTTGGGCTAAGTTGGTATATACTTGGGACTTAGGAATTATGCAGTTTGACTGACTCTCGAAAAAGGAAATCCTCTGAATAAGGACACCTTTGTGGGGACGTTAAGTGTCCTTTATTAAGATCCTCCATTGCTCCGGAAATATTAATAGTGAAACTTCTGAATAAGGAATGCCTTGGGTACATACCCTTTATTCATAGACGTTAATTGTTCTGAGGTATATAGTATTGGTGTTAGTATAGGTGTTAGTATAGGGGAGAACCAAGTGTCCCTACATTCAGAGGGTCCTTTACTGTAGATAATAGTGCCCCTTCATTTGGGCTAAGTTTGTTCTTGGGATTTAGGAATTACGTAGTTTGACTCTCGAAACGGAGCCTCTGTATAAGGGAACACCTTAGTAAAGTTTTCCTCCAAGGTGTCCCTTGCTGAGAGGGTCACTGTATCTGTGATAATGTTGCGAGTTGAGACTTTCCTCGTGTCTCTATAGCCTGTGATACCTGACTCCAGCAGCTCAGACTCCCTGCAACTCTTCCACAGGTACAAAGAGGTGAGCAAACCCCTCCTCTTCCTTTCTATTTCTCATTTCTCGCCACCGTTCTAACCAATCCTCTCTTTCTCCTTCATTTGCAGGCAGCACAGCAGTTGGTAAAGACAAGCAGTGAAGTAGCCCACCTAACTGAAATCTGGTAAACAAACCGCTCACAACAAACATTTTTGTTTCCTTTGTTGTTTACTGAAGCTTGTTAGAGTCATGTATGTGTTTGTTGTTGTTTACTGAAGCTTGTTAGAGTGATGTATGTTGTTTGTTGTTGTTGTTGTTTACAGTGCCAAATTGAACCAGGAAATCAGACAAGATGAGGTCACCCTTGAGAAAAACAAGTCTTCTAAAGACCACTACCAGAAACTGCTCAATCAGAAGGTTGTTTATATCCGACACTTCCTACCTAAAATCAAACAGTTGTTTGAAGGACCAAATGTTGTTGTTTACACTTCCTGTTTACTTCCTGTCTGACAGGATACGATGGTGAGCGAATTGCAAAGGATAAAAGGTCAACTGGCTCAGAATCGGACCAGAAGCTATTGATGTTTTAGGATCACTTTATATCATTAAGTACGTATGTGTGTGGTTCCTAAAGAGTAAACTTTTAGTTGTCACAATAATTTCGAACACTGTTGTGTATACATGTATTGTAGAATTTTGTGTGCATTTTATTTTTTTATCCTCTTAGTTTGCAAAAAGCGCACTTTGCAACCCGTGTGTGTTTGCTTAAATTCTTTGACTTTCATGAAGAAAAAACCAAAAATGCTATTGTTGCAGAATGCATTTTAGCCAACCATTGTTCTTTTTCTGCCTCTCGTTCTGACTTCGTCCAATTTCTGAACGACTGCTCGAGCCTTCTTTGAGTGACGTGTGTAGCTGTCCAGTAAGATCTGAAACTGCGTCTCAGTGTTAGGGTGACTGCTGAGAAAAGCCCTCTCCAGCACGTACAGGTCGACCCCTTTGTCCTCGGCGAGAGACGACACGTAACTCAGCCCGAAATCAATCAGCGTCAACTCGCGTCTCTCCGCGTTGAAAATCATGTTGGAAGTGGTCAAATCTCCGTGTATGAGGTCGATATCGTGCATCTGAGCAAGAACGCTGCCAATCAGCTCCACGAGATTCGAAAGTTTCTCCTCTCGTTTGGAACCACCGTTCAGACTGGTTATGTAGTCTTTGAGTAGAGTTCCGTCTGTTACGTGCTCCATGACGATGAGTCTTCGCGTGGCGTCGAAATGGAAGACTGCCGGGGCGCGAATACCGTGCTTTCTGCAGCGAGCCATTGACCTCACCTCCTGACTCATCCTCCTGTGGAATATGATTTATGCCCTCCGATAAAAACCTCTACACTGTAGCTACATATATTGATAGGATAACTAGAGAAAAGTGAAGGCTAGAAGGATGTGTATGTACACATCTAGAATAGTAAAATAAGAGGTGAAAATTGAGAACGAGAGGTAGATGGGGAGACAGGGGAAGAGTGGCGACCTGTGTGTGAGTTTCTTGTCGAGCTCGGGGAGGCGGTAGGTCTTGACGAATCTCTCCTTCACCACGGCGGGCTTGCCGAGGTACATGCAGCTGTACACTCTCGCCTCGGCTCCCTGCTTCAGTAGTTTCCAATCCAAGCGACTGTCACACTCCTTCTCCGCAGACATGGCTAGCTCTCTAGCTTTACACTGACCGAGTTCAGTCGCTGGTTTTGCTACCGCAAAACGTGTGACAATTCTATTTGATGCACACCACCACCGACCTCCAACCTCAAAATTGCAGACGTCAGCAATAATATCCGGACACCAGTGGGGCGGAAGATGTCCGGACAGCAGGACCTGAGCGACTTCGAGTACCAGCTGCAGGCGGAGCGGTTGGCGGGGGACGCGGGGGACGCGGGGGCCGCGGGAGGCTGGGACAAAACGCAGACGTATACGGACCCCAGCGACGGGACCCTGTACGAGTGGGACGCCGAGAAGAAGGGGTGGTTTCCGAAGGTCAGTCCCAATTAATGCGCACCTTTCAATGACTACAGAACGAAGACTTTCTTCTCTCCCGTTGTGTCCAGATTAGGGGGGTTCATTATTAGGCCCTTTACTTGTTTGCACAACATTTCACTTTTCTATTTCCCTCTCTCTGATGACTGCAGATCGATGATAATTTCCTAGCTGCCTATCAGGCCAACTACGGAGTAGCGCAGCCCGAGACCACACCCACTGACCCCGCCCCCTCAGAGCCAGTCGTGCAGCCAGTAGCGGTGACCCCACACCCAGCAGGTGGTGAAAAGCCAACACCTGACGAGCAGTCTTCAGCTAGCTCTGAAGATGGCACACGGAAGAGGAAGCAAGAACCGGGTAAGATGCTCACTAGCTCCAGTTACAAATTAGCACTCGGATTTACATACAGAGCTATTGTAGGTCACATATCTATGGTAGTAAGTAACAACTGTAGGGTATGGAAAGTGTAGGTAAGCATAAGTGGTGGCCACTAGATATTTGGACAGTTTGCTCTCTGACGTGCTGTCATTTTACACGATAATACCCATATTTTATAAAAGTGCCACCTCACTGAGGTTCGAACAAGGTTCAAGTTTGTATTTAACTCACGATGTGTCATTTTCCCTCCCTCCCTCCCTCCCTCCCCTCTCATCCCCCCACCCCCTCCAGAGGAGGGATGGTTTGAAATCGAGGACTCGAAAAACCACAACATTTACGTGTCTGGTCTTCCACGCGACGTAACCCCCGACGAGTTTGAGCAACTCATGTCCAAATATGGCATCATCATGGAGGACGATGATGGTGGGTGTGGCTTTCTAATCAATAAAATATTGTGGGAAAACAGAAAATGTTTGCCCCAACTTTATGAACTGTAATCATTATAATCCCACCCTTTTCTGTTTATATTATACTCTACGTACTGATGGTACCCTCTCTCCAATGCAGGCAGCTCTTCTTAAAAGAAGGAGCTGTCCTGGGTGTACTTGTTGCCTTGCCTTACCTTTCTACCTTGTTACCAAGTTGTTGAGACATGCTTTCTGGCATTCTTGTTTCTTTGCTTGCTGTAATATTATTTTAGGAGAACCAAAACTGAAGTTGTACACAGACTCAAATGGAGAGGTAAAGGGCGACGGTCGTTGCTGCTACCTCAAGGTCAGTGAGCTAGCAGAACATGCTCTATATAGACTACACTACAGTGTAAACCTTGTGGTCCACACTTCAGTAGATATAATCTATAGCTGTTTAGTTTACACGAATTGCTTGTATACTAACAAAAGAGAAAACATTTTCTTAAGCCTCGAAACACTTTTCAGGTTACTAGCTGTCAAGTAGACGTAATAGGCAGTTTTTTTAGAGCACTTGGTAGCTAGTATATACTAGCATTGTGCTGAGGATCTCACTTTCACTTTCAGTAGAGTAATCATCTGGTGTGAATAACATTGTGTCCAGATTGAGTCAGTGGCTCTGGCACTGCAGCTGTTGGACGGAATGCAGTTGAGAGGCAGCACCATCAGAGCCGAGAAGGTAAGACCTAATCCCAGCCCTAGCTAGCGGAAAAGTTTCAAGGAAGAAAACTTTCTCACTTCGTTTTTCTGTTCAGTAGCAATTTATAGTCGTTCCGCCAACAACACTCAAAAATAACACTCTGCGGACAGCTAAACCATCAGAGCCGAGATGTTCTTACCTACTTCCAGCCCATTTCCGTGGGAAATTTTAACTCTCTCCTTAATTTTTGGTAGCAAGTTACTAGCATCTCCACCCACAAACCACATAAGAAAAGCTTTGCAGATAGATATTCAGTAGGCAAGACAGCATCGGTAATAATATTCAGTTGGCAAAAACTCTAAAATCGCGAGTTTTCTCCTTCGAAACTGAAGAAATTTCCACCTGACCCAAGAAATGTAACATTATTATTACGTTTGTCTGTCTTCAGGCAAAGTTCAGTCTGAAGGGGAGCTACAATCCAGCTCTGAAGAAAAAACCGATGAAGAAGAGTAAAAAGAGCAAACAGAGTGCCCAGGGAAAGTGAGTCGGTGAATTTTCACTCATATACCCACATCCACGAATGTGCTACCGTTTCACTCATATGCCCACATCCACGAATGTGCTACCGTTTCACTCATATGCCCACATCCACGAATGTGCTACCGTTTCACTCATATGCCCACATCCACGAATGTGCTACTGTTTCACTCATATGCCCACATCCACGAATGTGCTACCGTTTCACTCATATGCCCACATCCACGAATGTGCTACTGTTTCACTCATATGCCCACATCCACGAATGTGCTACCGTTTCACTCATATGCCCACATCCACGAATGTGCTACCGTTTCACTCATATGCCCACATCCACGAATGTGCTACCGTTTCACTCATATGCCCACATCCACGAATGTGCTACCGTTTCACTCATATGCCCACATCCACGAATGTGCTACCGTTTCACTCATATGCCCACATCCACGAATGTGCTACTGTTTCACTCATATGCCCACATCCACGAATGTGCTACCGTTTCACTCATATGCCCACATCCACGAATGTGCTACCGTTTCACTCATATGCCCACATCCACGAATGTGCTACCGTTTCACTCATATGCCCACATCCACGAATGTGCTACCGTTTCACTCATATGCCCACATCCACGAATGTGCTACCGTTTCACTCATATGCCCACATCCACGAATGTGCTACTGTTTCACTCATATGCCCACATCCACGAATGTGCTACTGTTTCACTCATATACCCACATCCACGAATGTGCTACTGTTTCCACAGGCTACTGGACTGGAGAGAACGTAAAGCAGCAACCAATGAACATAAGACAAAGTACGATAAGATTGTCATCGTCTCCCACGCCTTCCATCCCAGCGAGTTCGAGGTGAGATTTAACCCTTTCCCTACTCTCAGTTTTAAAACCCTTTGGACACTAAATTTAACTTCTTCCCAGTTTTAACCTTTCGGCACCAATTTCAGGTAGTTAACCCTTTGTCCTATGGGTACCAAATTTTAACCTTTTTACTGCTTCCCAGTTCTAACCCTTTGGGCACCAAATTCAAGTAATTTTAACCCCTTATCCACTGTAGGAAGAGGCTCTGCTGATAAATGAGATAAAGGATGATCTGAGGGAAGAATGTGGGAAATTTGGAGTTGTGAAGAAAATTCTTCTCTTTGATGTGAGGAAATTGTGGCTGTACGTAAGGGCTAAATTTAGGAACTGTTACTATAAATGGAAACCTAACGGCATTCTTGCACTGTAACATGTCTCTGGTCCAGCGTCATCCAGGGGGTGTGGTCTCGGTGGGGTTCAAGGAGGCGGAGTCAGCGGCCGCGTGTGTGACGGCCATGAATGGGAGGTGGTACGGAGGAAGACAGCTGGGTGTGGCCATCTGGGACGGCGTCACCAACTATCAGGTGAGGGGGTTGGTGAGATTTGGAAGAAGGAAAAAGACTTCACTTTTTCCCAGAGGGTGAAAGGGTTGTGTAGGGTAAATATATACTTCCTGACTTCCAAACTACACCTCTAAACCTTAAAGTGAGGTGGCGGTGTAAAAAGAGAAGGGAGGGAGAGAGACAGCGGAAGAATAATTGTGTTGGCTGCAGGTGGAGGAGACAGAGAAGGAGAGAGAAGAGAGACTCAAAGAGTGGGAGAACTTCCTGGAGGAAGGGGAGGGGGAGGGAGGGAAGGGGGGTGGGAAGGGAGGGGGAAAGGACTCCACTGCCACATCTACACACCAATCCAGAGGAGAAGATAAGGTCTGTGTGCTTTCTTTCATGACTTTTGAGTGGCAGTTGGTTTTTGGCTGTAGGAAAGTGGTGAAAGCTGAAAAAGACATTCTTTTATGTGAATCTTTGTGACAATTCTCTTCCATTCTCACGCACAGACAATATTATAGGCAGGGATTTTCTGTTTATATGCGTCAATCAGTGCGCTGTTTAACTGCGCATGCATATATACTGCACCTTCTTGCGCAAACCTGTTCGACATTAATGCCTGCTTCTCGCTCGCACTTGCCAGAAATGCATATGCCTGTCTACTGTTGTGCATGATTATCCTAGGTACAGTATAAGTGCAAGTAAAGGGAATGTGTGTACTAATGATTGCATTTTCTTCCATCCGCATGCTCAGATAATATGCATCAGTGCATTGTTTAACTGTGCATGCATTAAAACTATGCACCATTTTATGTGCAAATTATTAATGCCACTTCCGCTTGCCAGAAATGGATTCACTAGAGCTATTTGTAATGTCGTATATACATGACTATATATCATATAATGTGCAAACTGTAACAAAAATCGGTAGTCTGTCTAGTCAGAGGTAAACAAGTATCAGTAAGTGAACTTTTACTCCACGCAAAACGCTCTAGATTCTAGTTACTCAGTATGGTGTGGTCGAAGGGAAAGGACTATGAGAAAACTAATTCCATGCAGGTCTAGGTTTTTTAGGAGCAGAAGGAGAGGAAGAGTCATCTATGCCTTTTTCTCGTTAAGCCATTCCTCCACCTTGTTGGCCAGTCTTGGATTATTGACAGCTGGAGATTTGAGGGCTTTGATCAGGAACTCCCATGTGTAGTTTTTGTCCTTTTTCCTCCACACACAAAAAACTCGCAGAGTTTGCGTACTTACATCGTTGGGATAATTGCATTTAATCTTGCCAATTTCATGCATCTCAAGATCCAGCTGAAGTGCTAGGGGCATGATGTTGCTCACTTCTGGCATAACCAAGTTTGATAGGACTTTCATGTCTGGTTCTGATGTTGTTCCTACAAAAATATTAATAGTAATGCAGTGTGTTTATGCATTAGTATACACATACCTGAACACTGGTAGGTATGCCAAACTTTTTGTTTTTCATTCAGAGTACCCCTTATCAGTGGTGGTTGTTTGGTGCAGATAAGGTTGAATTTGTCACCAACAGTTGCAGGATGTAAAGTCTCATGTTTGCAGGTGAGTGGACAGAGGAAGGAGGGTTCACGGATTTTTGTCGCTGCACTACAGGTCTTTTCAAGGGCGTCTTTAATAGCTTCTTGCACATCAAAATCTATTTGTTTGCATAGACGTTCTCCATATCTTTCAAAATCTTCTACAGCAATGCTTACTGCAAAGAACTGGAGCTTGTCAATGAACGTCACTCTGACTCCCTTTACTGCAAAAGTGACTTTGTTTCGTGCTATAACATATTCCTCTTCAACAGTATCAGTATCATCATCATTCTCTGTTATAATATCCCATCCGGCTACTGATCTCAAGAAGCACACAGTACAGCAAAAGACTCCACGAGGAGCATAGGTGCTTGAAAAGTGAAAAACTCTTGTCACCATATAATCCCTCTTTTGGCTAAAGTATTCATCGACTTTCACCGTCTCCAGCAGTGCAGGGCAAAAAAACTTTGAACACTTTGCTATTTCATCATTCACAGGAGCAACGATATGTAGTCGTTTGAGCAGATCCAAGAACATCTCTGCAGTGAAAACTGGTGTGCCATTATCGTCTTTTACATAGTGTGATTGGAAGATTTTGTCTTGAAGATGTTTAAGTGTGAGCTGAGCCTTGTCACAGAACTCCCCCCACATTCCATCAATTGGATCACAGCCTTCACTGAGGTTTTCCTTATCCATAGAATAAAGTTTTTTTACAAGTTCGCTGACACAACTTAGTGGCACTTGTGAGCTGGTGAACACAACACCAGGAAGGATATTTTCTTTGTAAAAGAAAATGTTCAATCTGTCCAAAAACCTTAGGGCCGCTTTCATTTCATCTGGTCCAATTCTAAGTACTTTGGCCACAGTTTCACATTCACTTATTGAGAAGACTTGTCTTCCCAATCTCTGAGCAACCTCTTCCAGAACAATTTGTAGGACATACCAGAAGATAGGGATAGTCTCTGTGCCCTTGCGTTGTTGGGCTGACTCACTAACTTTCTTCCTTATCTTACTGGCGATGACTTTGTCTCCTTCCAAAGGAACAGCTGCGTTTACTTCAAAAATTATGGCCCTGCTTTTATTGAAATAAACTTTCGAATCATCTGGTATGAGTCTCTCAAGCACAAGATTCTTTTTATCAATGGTTTCCACAGGATCAAAGTCAGAATCTTCTCGTTTGCAGCATAAACATCTATTAGTTGTTGTAACATGCTCTTGCTCTTTCTTGGCCTCATAAACATCTTTATGGGTTCCAATGACTATTACTTTAGATTCACTGTCAGACTCTAGTTCCTGGCACATTAGTTCAAAAACTTCAGCTGTAGTGAGTGTAGCTCGCTGACCTTCTCGCCCTTCTGGTTTGTCTTTATTGTACCACTCATTGAGTGGCTTTTCTCCAAGTTTGTCACAAAGACGGTGAACAAACAGGACTGTTAAGGGACCACGCATAAAGATCGGAACTAGATCCCAGAAGGCTTGCTGCCCTCCGCTATCAGTAAGGTATATTGCCTGCTTTTCCAGTGAAAGCTGCTTCATTGGTTGCCCTTTGTAGCTCGCCACTAGTTCATCTAGCTCGCCCACTATTTCATCAGTAACTGTTTCCAGTTGACTTTCTGTTTTTGGTACAACAGGTGATTTGCCTGCTGCCTTTGCTCCTGTCTCTCCCTCAATATCATCTATCCCTTCCTTTGCATCTGTACTCACCTTTTTTTGTGCATTTTTTTTAAATCTCTTGCACAGAATGGGGACAGCTTCAGCTAGCATTTCTTTCAGATCTGCCTTCTCCCATTTCTCCTCCCCACTTATTATTTGGAAAACTCGTACAGGACGTTTGGCACATTCTGTGCTGTCTCTCTTATCTGGTGGGGGCAGACCCATCAACAAGCTGTACACACAGGTCTTGCCCACACCAGCTGTTCCCACTAATATGACCTTTAGCACTGGGACTACAACTTCTCCTTCTTTCATTGCTTCTGCTAGAAGTGACGAGTCATCAGCTAAAAAGAGAATACAACTTAGTTAGCTATGCCCTCATTTTAGAGTAACAGTGTATACTGTTATTGTGACTTCTATTTCAGCTGCCAGTACAATCAGTTGACAATCTCTAAGCACTCTAATTAGATAATTCCATGTTACATCTACTGATGTTGTTAACCATCTCTTTAGTATCTCCATAACTATTTGTTCCGCATTATACCTCTGACCTAATGCCAAAGCTTGAACTATACTATCATCATAATCATTGCAGAGAAGGATTCCAAAATGACCGTATTTTGCACCAACTCTTTGAGGTATTCTGAGACGAACTAGTTCTGGTAGGGTTGGCCTTCCTGAGACAATCAAGAAAAACCATTTACTACATTGTAGATACTAGTCAGGGACAACTTCATTTTAAACAGAGGCAACAGTCTCCAGCATAAGTAAGCGTTGGCTGCATGCAAGAAACCTGCAAATATACACTGTGTGCACTCTGTGCAAGTAAAAATAATATTCAGTCAAAGTAAATTATGGGCGAGCAAAGGGTCTGAATGTGGGAATTTTATAATTATATTTATACGTGACGGGCACTGCACATAGCTACCGTAATGTTCTACGTGATTTTAAATACCATGACACGCACAAAAAATTGAATTGCTTGGTTCGCTCGCCAATACCATGTGGCCAGGCGGTGCTGGGAGGTGGGAGGCGGCTGCTCTGGTAGCTGGATGCAGGAGAAGACCAGCAGGAAGAGTGTGAACCTCCTGCGAACACGCTTCGCAAGAGAAGGCATTTTCTGGACCAACGTTCAGATCAGGAGGCTGATCTGCGAAAAAGGGGGCGGCTGGCTGATTTATGCAATATAATACGCCCACTTTTTATACGCGCGCGCCGCCGAGTTTTAAAGCTATTAGCTAGCTAGAGCCGCATCAAACATTTTAGCGCGCGCGCCAAAAACCGTTCTGCTCTCGATCGATCGCGTCGACTGACTTCAGTTAGAAGATGGTTTGTTTGTCTGCTCCAGCGTTTCTCCTCGCCGTCCCCCAGTCTATCCTCCGTCCTTCACCAGCTCACTCTTTCGTCTGAGACAGGCGTCGACCAACCAACATGGCGAGGTTGTAGAGTACAAGACGGAGCGTTCGCGTGTACGTGGAGAGTGCACTTCCAGCACACACTAGTGGCTCCCGGGCCAGGGAAACGGTTCCAAACGCCGGACCTGGAGGCAAAGACGGTAAAAGAACTCACTATCAATCTGAAAAGCAGAAAACTCAGCAAGCATTAGTCCCCAGTGTGAAAAAGTTGTCTGACTCAATTCAGAAGGGACCAGTAATGTCTCATTCTCGAGGTGGGGCGGGGTTCAAACAGGCACGGGGTGGAGACCGGGACATGGAGTGTACTCCGGAGTGTGCCTCCCCTGCCCATGCCGGGGTAATACTCACCTCTGTTGCCCTTGGCAACCTCCGTCTACTCCAACACTGCTCAAATCTCTGTTCCAATGCTTGGAGGATTTCAGACGGCTTCGGGCGGAGTCCTCTCCATGTCGCCGCGTCTCGAGGCCACACCCACATCACTGAGTGGCTTGTCGCCAGGAAGAAGGTTGCCATGGATACAGTGGACAAGGAATCCGGTTGGTCAGCTCTCCACCGCAGTGTGTACTTTGGAGAGCTAGGCACAGCTGTTAGCTTGGTCAAGGTATGCTTTTTTTCTTCCCTTTCTTACCCTCTGTTTCCCTTCATTTTTATACACTGTTTCTCTTTTGCCCTTGCCCACCCTCTGCTCCCTCCCCTCACTCTCCATCTAAGTTTACGTCATGTTTGTGAACAGTGTCAGTGGTACTGAAGAATAGGGTGGACACTGTATCCCTTTTATGTAGAGCTAGTGATATTGCATCAGCCACCTGCTGCCAACTGATATGTAGAACCATTTCAATTTTGTGTCTTCACTGTTTGCACTTACTATGCGTGTCTGACATCTTACTTACGATGTGCTCTCCCTCCTTCCTTCTCTTTCTCCCCCCTCTCTCCCCCCTTCTTCCCTTTCCTCCCTCTCCTTCCATCTCGATATCCCTCTCTATCCTCCTTCTTTCTCCCCACTCTCCCAACTAAGCTGGGAGCGGGACTGGGAGTGAAGGACTACGATGGTCTGACTCCACTCTCCCTCATCAACAAAGACAGACTTCTAATGACCAGGACACCAGGTATTCACAACTATCTTAGATACAGGGGGACCCTCTTTAGACACCCCTGAAATGAGGACACCTCTCTAATAAGGACACCCTTGAAATGAGGACACCTCTCTAATAAGGACACCTTTTCTTTCCCCAAGAACAGTTCTTGCATGCAATTAACCCATTTCGCTACTAATAACATTGTTGTGTGTCCTGATCTCATTTCTGAAAATTGTGTCATGTGCAGATGTATAGTTGTACAAGACAGGGCCTATAACTAGCAGACAAGGAAATAGACAATAATATGTTTCTCAGCTATTTAATGTGTACATTACTCTAGTCAATGTCAATCCCTATTACCTTGCTTCTGTTGGAAAAGGCTTATGCTTTCAGCTTGTTGATTCATTCATCCCTGAACTAGCAAGGCCTATGGGTGTGATCAGTGCAAAAGGACAAAGAAAAAGAGATCACCCAGGCACTATATTCATAATTCCTTCCATTGCCCTGAGTTACATGTGTTGTGACTACAGCCAGTCGTGAATAACTGTCTTACCTTGAGTGAATACCCACTCCCTTTACCACACACATTCTCCCTCTCCCTTTTTCCTGCCTTACCTGTCAACATTTCTGGTTTTGTCTATTCAGTGGGGTAAACTAAGATTATAAGTCTAACCAAACACTACTGTGTAAAAACGTCACATCATAGTGTACATAGTTTCTGAAGCACATATTATTTTAAAACATCTCTTTCTCTCTCCTTCTCTCTTCTTGTCCCTCCCTTGCTGCAGAGGGGGTGGATGTCTATACCTGGGGTAGCAACGCCAACACCACTCTAGGCCACGCCCACTCCAGACCACACCCAGAACGGCTCGAACTCCCAGCACATCTCTCCATCTCACAGGTACGTGTAGCACCATCTGCACTCACTTAGTACTCTGCCAAACCTGTATACGGTTCCACACTATAGTACACACAATGGTATAGTTGATGCTGTTGCAGGCTGCATTCTTGCCTTTTCCCTCCCTATATACATACAGTCATATGTATATACATGTCCTCATGTAGACCGTAGGCCAAGAAAACTACATGCATGTGCTCTGCATGTGCATAAAGTTGGCAGAGTTCTACATTTAGGAAGACCCATGCAGCAGATTTGTACATATAGCCCATTCTGGGTATGCCCCCCAATGAGTCCCTATAATCTCGACACCAATGAAACAGAATGATGTCCATATTGGTGTCCTTGTTCTTGAGGTTCTGCAAAAGCCATTCTTGGAGAAAGAAGAGGTGCCCTTATTATGGAGGTGTCCTCATATCAGGGGTGTCCTTAGAGAGAGAGAGAGGTTTCCTTAGAGAGGGGTTCCACTGAACTATCTCACTGACTGTGTGTGTCTGTGATCAACACCAGGTGGTACTGGAGAAGTTCCACTCAGTGCTGCTGACATCCAGTGGACTGGTGTTGACATGTGGCCACGGCAGAGGAGGCAGACTGGGCCATGGAACTGAAGCCTCCGTCGTGGTTAGCTCCCCTTTCTCCCCCTCTTCTCTCTCTCTCTCCTTTCTCCCCCCTCTCTTCATACGTTGCTTTGTGTGTAGGGTGTGTGATTAACAACATACGGTACATTAGGTTTTACTTTCTTTGATGCATACAACAAGTTGGTTTTAGTAACAAGGTCATTGTTGTGTGTGCCAAATTGGTTGTGCCAAAAGTCGACAATTATTTGAATCAGTGTGTTGACTAATTACCACACCCCTCCCTGACCTGACAGACTCCGAGATTAGTGGAAGCCCTGAAAGGAGTGAAATGTGTGTCAGTGGCAGCAGCCAGGAACCATACTCTCTTCCTTACTGACAGGTGTGTAATCCTCCTATACCCTACCAATTACCATGTGTACTGTATATACTCCTAGTGGAGTGGTGTATTCCTGTGGACTCAATGACGCTCATCAGCTAGGGACTAGGCTCCGCCCCTAACTCCACCCCCAAACAGTGCCTCACACCCACTCCCATCACCGTAAGTCTTCTCCTTCCTCCCATTCTCTGTGCCTCTTCTTACTGTGTAAACATACCAAGTGAACTGAACGATAGGTGCAGAAGATTGAAGATGTTACCATTCCATACTCCAACTGTAGTCAAAGTAGAAAGAATAGTTGGTTTGTCTCTTGTGCCTACATAAAATGCAATATTGTTGACACCCTTATTTAGGGGGGACAGCGGAATTTGGGCGAGATAGGGATAGGTGCAGCGAGATAGAAGATGTTACCATTCCATACTCCAACTGTAGTCAAAGTACTAAGGATAGTTGGTTTGTCTCTTTTTCCACTCTTGTGCCCACGAGAAATGCAATATCGTCGACACCCTTATTTAGGGGGGACAGCGGAATTTGGGCGAGATAGGGATAGGTGCAGCAAGATAGAAGATGTTACCATTCCATACTCCAACAATAACGAATATTACTGCCACGCATGCCAGCTGACTGTGTTCGCATCGCAACAAGTGCCTTTTACGTATATAATTTGCTTTTTCGGGATTTGCAAAAGAGTTTTGTCGTGGAAGATTTTTAGTCCTGCTGTGTTAACCTTCAGCTCTTTGATGTAGTACTATCTTTGTTCCTTCCTCTGATCTCCCTGTCTCTCCCTGGCTGGCAGGCCAAGAACCTGCGAGGTCGTCAGATCACTGCAATAGGAGCCGGTCGCTACCACTCAGCCCTGGCCACCGAGTCACACGTCTACACGTTTGGTCAGAACCTGGGCCAGCTGGGCTATGAGAGGAACTACCACACACAGATCATTCCCAAAGCCGTAAGAACACTCTCATATTCTATTTGTTTGTACATAGTTCCCCCAAGGAAAGGTAGTAATCACTGTGTACTATGTACACATGTGCATAGTTATAGTACTCAATTATCAAAGTATTCAAGGTCCTCCCTCTCTCTGTGTGTGTGTGTCCAGGTGCCCCAGATCAGTGTGGAGGGAGATGACTCCATAATCTCCCTCTCAGCCAGCCATGCTGCCACTGCAGTCCTCACTCGGAGACACAGAGTCTTCGTCTGCTGTGACCACATTGTCAAATCCATCCGGTTTGTACATATAGCTCTCCTGTATATACCAGTCCCTCTCTTGAGACTATTTCTTCCCTGTCTTTAAGAACATGAAATCTTCAGTTTGTTTTGTTTATTACTTATATGTATATGCCTTTGATGTGACCTGAAGATTTAGTCTGATGGGCAGAAAACACTCAATCTTCCTTTACCAGCCCACCTACTACGTAATACACGTCACCTACAGTAAAGCATACAAGTAACTCCTAGGCCTATAGAAGTCTAACAACGTGGTGCATGCTGCATCACGACAATTTGCTATCTTTGTGTCACAACGCAATGCAGCATTTTGTCCCGTGAATTGCAAAATTGTGAACCCACACCACCGAATGTCTCTCATTCCTCCTCCATACACCTACTGTGTACATCAGGTGTGGATTTCTGGAGAAGTTGGAGTGTGTGTCAGTTCCAGGTGTGCGCCCCCCTCACTGACAGAGCCCACATCAGGGGACCAGTCCCGAACCCACCAAGATACTCATTCTGGACTCCGAACATAAGGTATGACGCAGTCTCCCTACTTTCCCCTGTGCCATTGGTGTCTGGATTAGAGGGGCTCCTCTTTACCTACATGTGTACAGCACCCTGTAGCTACTACTACTGACAGAAGAGTACATATGTACGTACAGGCAAGCATTGTGATGACGTTTGGTACAGAGGAATAAGCTGGGAGCGAGATAGGGGAAAGATGAAAGTTTGGAGTGAGATAGTAGGGGGGAAAGATGAGAACATTTGGAAGAAGATGGGAGAAAAAGTTGGAGCCTTATGTGTGTATATGTTTGTGGGGAAAAATTGACAGGCAAAACTAGGGGCACAGTGTGAAATGATGTAGCAGATGAAACCCCCACACCCATGTTTACCAATACATGTCTCTCTCTTTCTCTCTCACTGCTCAGTTGTGGTACTGGGAGCCAGTGAAGAAAGGAACAATACCACAGCTCCTACCTGGCCTGGCACGACTCAATGGTGAGCAGTATACACAAAATGAAGTGTACTCCTCAGACATCACTGAGTAGGTGTGCATTTCGGGACTTTCATTTTCTCTTGTGTTTGTTTTCTACAGTCGCTCATTTCACTCTCGGGAAGAATCTCACCATTGTCACAGGTATACATGTGTATGTGTAAACTACGAGATAGAAAGGCAAAGGACAGCTCTTTTTTCCAAAGAAAGAAAATCTGTCCTAGGTGGGTTTCGAACCCACGACACTCTGCAGTCTAGGCGAGCACTCAGCTGATAGGGGTTCGGGGTTGTGCCTTTGCCATTCTACCTCGTAGTTTAAACACACACTCCCCTCTCTCTCGCCAGATGAAGGAGAGGCGTACCTGAGTCTGTCTCAGTCAGGCTCACCTCTCTCATTCTCCAGACTGCCCTCCATACAGAATGCCAGCTCTGTTTTCACCGACTTTAAAGCCACCAACTTTGCCTACCTTCAGACTATCAACAGGTAGTAGTAGTTGAGAGAGGAGAGAGAAATGATGCATACATGTGAGACATTATGTCAGAGAAATTGAGTGTGATTACAAATATATATACGTAACCCTGGCTTAAGTTGTAATATGTGAACACTTTGCACCTCTAACTATATGTGCAATGTCTTCTGATTGTATGTGTGATGTGTGTAGTGTTCTGGACTTGCCGAGTGTGGCCCCGCCCACTTTGACCTCTGACCTCTGTGGCCTGCTGAAGGAGGATAACATACTAGACTCTGTAGCTGACATCACTATCCAGGTACACATACACAACTAGAAACCACAACTTTACAACTACCGACTCATTTGTAACTCTGTTCCCTTCAGTCTGGTGGAGGAGTGGTGTCGGCTCATCGCTGCATTATCTCCTGTCTCTCTTCCCTCCCTCTCCCGTCCTCCACCACCCTCACACTCCCTCCCTCACCTCCCCACATCCTCACCGCCTTCCTCCACTACCTCTATGGTGCCACCATCTGTCTCGTTTCCGTTCCAGACAAGTCCGATTCCGGTTCCACTCTGGCCACGCCCTCTTCATCAAGTCTGAACGTGGAACTGACTCCGGACACGTCGTTTGCGAGTGTTGATGAAAACGACCTCACGGAGATGTACGACAGGTTCAGTAGCCAATCTCCACCGCCAATGAGGAATAACAAGCAGGGGCAGCCCCTGGAGAACGGGTTTGACGAGATCGAGCTGATCCCGACAGACCGGTTTGGTCAACAGAGTACGCCGAAGAAACGAAACAAGAGGAGGGGGAGGGGGGAGGGTGTGGAGGAGGAGGGAGGGGGAGGGGAGTTGGTGGAGGTGATGTGTGCCAGTGTGAGGAGTGATCTGCAGTCTCTACAGAGACTGGCTAGCCACCTACACATCTCTTCTCTTACACAGAGGTATACATCCCTTTGTGAGCACGTCGCATACTGAATACTGCAAAGATTATTGAATTAAAATCAGCAAATTTTGGTAGGTGTCTGTGCTGTACATGTTTTTCTCTTCCCCCAAGGTTGGATGATGTTCTGACTAACTTCTCCATGAAGCAGGCGACTCGTAGGGTAGTCCTCACCCCTCCACCCCTCTCCCTCTTCCCCTCCCTCTCTCCCACCCTCACCGACGTCACTCTCCTCTCATCTGACCACCAGACCCTCTCCTGTCACAAGTGTGTCCTCGTGGCACGATCTGGTGAGCTGGACATCTCCGCACCAACAGTTGACATTCATATCACTAACTACACTAAGTACAAAATTAATTTCCATGAAAAAACTGTTGGGTATTTGGAACGTTTCTTTCCCACTTGGTCTTCAATGTATGACCACTCTTTGCCCCTAGTCATAATCGTCTAACCAGTATGTGGCACATGTAGTGGGAATGGGAAGGTTTCGAGGAAGAAATCAGTTGGTGTTGTGAAGATTCTTTCCCCCTTGTTATCTTCGTCTGTTTGTCTTGAAATGTAGACTACTTCAGGAGTATGTTGCTGATGGGATGGAGAGAGACGAGCGAAGGTGCTCCCTCCCTCTCCCTCCCCTTCTCCTCCCAACTCCTGGCCACCGTGGTAGAGTTCATCTACACCGACACTGCTCCCTCTGTCTCCAGTGAGCTTCTCCTCTTTTCTCCTCGCATTCTTAGCTCTGCATCTCCATAATACTGTATAGCTGTCCAAATTGCATAGTATTCTACGTGGATCCACTCTGGCTTCTGAAATGAAAGCATGTTTCCAGCTCCTCTGCTCTATATATTTGCTAAATCTCTGTTGATACGTATGCCGAGGTTGTTGTTGTGACTGTGTACATGGTGTTATCCTGTAGACTCAGATTCTCTGGAGTGGATTGTGCAAGTTCTCGTCACAGCCGATCAGGTATATAATAATGTCCATTTCAGGGTTCATACAATGTTTTTGTTTGAACATGTCTTTCCCCTCAGCTCCTACTGACGAGACTCAGGGAATTCTGTGAGCTGACTCTGGCCAGGAAATGTGAGGTCACACACACACACACACACACATCCATTAGTCACATCCCGTGTGCCACACTCATCCACCCACCCACAGTCTGTGTGATGATGCAAGTCTTACAGCAGCGGGCTTTATTTGTTTGGTTAAATATTCGTTTTTTCGTACCCAGACACACTTCATTTTGTTGCATGGTATAATATTCGTTTTCGGAATTCGAGAAATACTCATTTTGGCCCGACAAAAAACACCAATACTTGGCTGCAATAGATAATCCTCTTTCTCCTCTCTCTCTCTCTCTCTCTCTCCCCCTCTCCTCCAGTGACCCTCCGCAGTGTGTGTGAGGTGGCTGAAGTGGCGGCCGCCTGCTCTGCCTCACAACTCCAGACTGCATGTCTGCAGTTCATCGGAGCCAATGCCGCAGCCATGCTGGAGGCTAGGTGACACCACACCTCTCTATTCTTAACAACTCAGTTTTCTTCTGCGTAATAAACAATTCCATTAACAATTTTTTTGGTACAATTGGGTTGTATGAGTGTGCGCTGTACGTATGGAATATTCATGCATTGTGGCGCCATGCAAATTTGCACTTACGGAAGTGTGCTGGAAGATGATATCCCATTTTCTCTTGTTTATTCTCATCTGCTTCATTCGTATCTCTCTCCAACCACTGTGTGTGTGCGTTGACAGGCTCCTGGATAGCCTGAGTCCCAGTCTGTACTCTGAGCTGTCCTCAGTCTACAAGAATATGGTTCCTCTCACTGCCAAGAGGACCATACATTTCCCTGGTACACAAGCACTACACAACACCAGCTCTCTCTCACTTCTACTAAACGCGCACTGTCCTTTCTCTATACCACATTCTCCTGAGTCAGCCAATTTGTGGGATTAATCAGTGTGTTGAAGAATGCATATTTTGTGAGCCTTTTTTCTCTCGTCCCATTGGCTTCTAGAAGACAGCAATCTAACCAAGGCGATAGGAAAGAAAGAAAGAGAGAGAGAGAATAAGTTGCACCCCTTTCTGTGCTTTTAGTGCGGGATCAGGCCGACTAGGGAGCATACAAGATAACAATGGTGTTCCTGAATGCACAATGTGTGCATATGTGTATTTGTGACTGTACTAGTATTGGACAGTGTATGATGATGTACAATTCTCCACTAGACCCAGACCCAAGGATCTGCCAGAGAGCTATTTCCAGGAGGGAGGAGGAGAGGAGGGAGACCTCCTGGACGATTCCTCCGACATCACTGACACACTCATAATCATCATCTGCAGTAAGTCACCGGCCGATACGAGTTGTTCACTCTGGAGCTACATACTCACATAGTGTGTTCAATCTGCATGTGAGCAAAGTAGTGTATCTTGGAGAATGGGTGGGCTGAGGGTTTTCATCAAGCAAGTGTAGGGAGGTACAGATAGATACATACAGCCAATCCTGTACCTTTGACTATAGCTGGGACGTGTGCAGTGCAAATAATCATCAGGAGTGACTAGGTGGCCTAAACTTTCGTACTTTTGGGAAGCATGTGGGAGAGGAAACCATACAGAATCTATCTTGATGAAATATTGCCAGATTGAATGCCTGTGAACTCCACGTAATTTTCTGGTCATGTGACCTCTGATGAAGATCACATGACCCCACTACCTGATCACGTGACCTCTGTCTCTCTCCCACAGTTCTCAACCTCCAGATGTTCCTCCCACTACCAGCCACGCCCAGTCTAGTGGCAGTCGGAGAAGACGCAGAGATGGGCGGAGACGAAAGTCCAGTCAGAGCGGTGCGCACCGTGGATCCCAGGAGGTCACGTGACTCTGGTGGTGGGCGTGGCTCCTTCTCCCCCTCCCCCAACCACCTCACCCCTCCCACCCTCACATTCCCCCACTAGCAGTCCTGAAGAAAACACTTCACAGCAGGCGGGCTTCAATAAGGATCCACCAGACAAGACTCAAACTGGCTCTAAACCAGTTCCAGGAACCGGTTTTTCCACCCTGACTGGCTCTAAACCAGGTCCAGAAACCGGTTTTTCCACCCCGAAATCGGGATACTCTGCTACAGTGTCGCACGAGAAGAGACAGTCACAACGTCGGAAGAAGACTCGTAAAAGACTTTCTGAGAGTTTCAGGAGCGATGGGAAGGGCGAAGTTGGGAAGGAAGATAAGGAAGAGGTGCAGGAAGTAAAGTGTGAGAGAGGACCAAATAGAGCCCTCGCTAATGGACTTCCGTCGCCTGTGGGTGTTGGACCCTCGAGAAAGGTGTGGGGAGACGGAGAGAGCAAACCAGTCTGTCTGAAAGACATCATGGCAGAGGAGGAAGAGATGGCTACGCACTGCGCCCCTTACCGAGCTCACCGGGTCTCCCCTCCCCCTCCCTCCTCCCCTTCCTCTCGCTCACACCCTCCCAGTCGACAGACCTCCCATGACACACCCTCCCACACTCCCCCTCAACCCGCAACTCGGCAAGCTTCGTCAGACATCAACTGTCCCACTTCTCTCTCCCATCCGCCCCCTCGCTCCCTCCCAGCAAGTCGACAAACATCGTCCTGCTCAGACCTCAACTCCCCACCTCCCCTCTCTTCCTCGCTCCCTCGTTCTCCTCCCGGGGGAAATCCCTGGAGGACCGCCCAGCCTCCTTCCCCTGCTCCAGTTGTTTCTCTCAGGGATCTCATGGCTGAGGAGACGCTCAGAGCTCAGGAGATGAAGAAGAAGAGCCATCCTCCCCCCTTCTCTTCCTCCTCCACACACCCTTCATCTCATGGGCCACACCCTTCCTCTCATGGACCACACCCTTCCTCTCATGGACCACACCCTCCTCAGAGGTATACCAATGTAGCAATGCATTATTGGCAAAGTGTGCGAAATTGCAGTGAATTGCATATTGGGAGCGTCAGCTTTATAAAAATCCCGAAATGCAGACAACTGTAGGTATACATCACATGGTATTTTCTACATATTATGTATACTAGGCTCACAATGGTGGCTCGCAATAGTCTATATTTTCCCAATCTGCCACATTATTTGGACTCTCTATCTCTCTGTCTGTCTGTCTGTCTCAGAAGACGGCCATCGGTCCCCCAGTCAGCTCAGCCTCCAGTGTCGTTTGCTGACATCATTCTCTCACAACAGAGGGAACTGGACTCCCACAGGTCTGTTGAGTGGTTCCAGATATAGAGCTATATAGTCAGCAGGGAGTGCATGGCCTTTCAACGATGTGTATACATACATACACACGTCACTAATACGTATGACTCATGTGGTATAATAAATACTGTAATTTGATTTTGCCTCATGCTATTGGCCGGCTGTCAGACTGCATTGTGTGCATCATCCTTAGCATGCTATGTACATATTGGCTAGTTAACAGTGATTTGAAAGAGCATCCAGCAAATATTCCGTCTTTCTCTTTCCTTATCCTCAGTGGGCAGGCCAGGAAGCCACTTCCATGCATTCAGGTATGTATTGTATGTAGTGCATGCTGCACAAATACTCGCTCTATTAATTGGGCATACTGCATACCCCACCGTAGATTGAACAGCAAGCTATCAACCAATTAGAAGACCTCTACTGTTCCCGTGACAACCCCGACGAATACATCACCATCCAGAGGCACCGCCCAAAGCCTAGCCACGCCCCCTCGTTACATCATTCCAAGAACCACACCCGTGCTCCACCCACCACCCCCTGGAATGCTCGTTAAACTCCAAAACAGTGTTACTCTAATACTACATATCTTTTATATAGCTCTTCTATATAGTACTGTTTGTACTTATGTACTGTGTCAGTTCAGTTTCATTGGCTGCCTTTTCAGCCACACCCACCAGAAGATAAGTCATGTGACTGTCATGTGACACCATATGTCACCAGTTTTTGTATTTTTAGCACATCAATCACGTAATGTCTTAGAACCGTCATCATTAGCAAGCAGATCATTATTACAGGGAAATTATTTCACATTTTGTTGCCACGCTGACATTGCCGCTGTCAAATGTGGCTGTTGCCATTATTATGTATGTGATATTCACCTGTTTAAATTTTGATGCATAAAATGTCGATGTGCGGTATAATATATCCACATTTATGTTGTAGAACCATCATCACATAGTATATATCTGTATTATAGTTTTTTAGTTCAAAGTTCATATCTCTCTTTCTTGTGAGGAAAACAAGGAACCTCTGGAGGCGAGTGCTCCGCCCTTGTATACACGTTGTCAGGGCAACTGTCATGTGACACTGTCTCCTGGTCACATGCACTGTACACATTCTCTGGAGCAAGACAAGATAATGAAGTTAGGGTGTATTTGGCTCAAATTTTTGAGGGAAAAATGCTTAAATTTGCATGTAGTAGCTACACAAATTTACACCCTACAGTAGGAGCATTTGCCTCCAAGGCCACCACAATAATAGCTATCTAAGCCCGTACATCACTTCATCATACAGAGGTAAGTGAAGAAAGAAAAAAAGAACTGTGGCCAAACCTGCAATGTGCTCTATGATCTCAGTATAGAACTTTCTGGGGTCTTGGCTGTATGCCTGACATTGAGTGGGATCTCCAAAGTAGTGACAGGTGTAGCCCTGTCCACTGCCCCTCTCGGTGCGACAGTGACAGCCTATACCTATCGTGACGTTGTCCTCACTCTCTTTCAACTCGTACCTATTGTAGCAGTAGTGGGAATAGCATGTCGTATAACACTGTGTAACATTTGTATGCACACAGTTATAATTATATTGGAGCTGAGAGTGAAGTAGGAATTAGTTCCTGAACAAAGCTATACCCTGTGAGCGTATATAGTAAAATGTATTCTTAAAACGGCATGCATTTGCTGAAAGAATGCAGCATATAACCCAAGTGCTAACCTCCCACAATCCTCTCCCCACGGCATTGTTCATCAGTAGCTCAAACTAAGGATGGTCTAAGCTCCATGAAACATGTGTGAGAGGTATAGCTGAGTATGCTGTACTTCAGCTAATAGCCTAAGCTAGAGGGGCCGATCACGCTGACGCGAGAATAGGATTGTGGATGAAGCCATGGTACATGCATACATACATACATACTGTCTTTGTAAGTCTGGTGGTATGTGGAAGAGCTGGAGTTCACGGCCTGGGGGGTGGCTCACCAGGCGCATTTGGAGCCGTCTTTCGTCTTGAACTCGCCGTGAATCATATCCATGTTGGAGATGGCGCTAGCTAGTCCAACCACCACCAGTAGCAGTGGTACTAGCAGAAGGAGGGGACGGCGGCGAGACATCTTGATGGGCTGAACAACGGCGAAGCAGAAACGTATTCCTGGATCCTTAGCTTGTTGGTGAGCGAGCGAGGGGGCGCGGTGAGATAGTGGGCGGGGCTCGTACTAGCTATACGCGCGCATGCGTGGAAAGAAATGCATTTGCAATGTTGTATATACTGAAGAGAAATAATACACAAAAGAAAAATAAAGATGGTGTGAATGGTTGGTTGGTGATTTGTTATGTTTCATCAGAGATCTGGAGGGAGAGAGAAAGGGGGGAACTAGTAACACTTCCACTACACAAATATGCTGGCTCGGTGTGTGTCAGTACAACCCACAAACATTGCACAAGTATTCCGGAGTTTTTTTGTAGGTACATCACATATTTATGTGCACTTGTACTGACATACACTGAGCCAGAAAATGCCGTAACATTTCAGTGTTTTGTTCTGTGTCCTTTAGTCAGAGTGTCCCTTATCCGCGGGGCTCTTCTGTATTATGCAGCCGCGTGGTGATACACAGCTACTGGTCAATCCGCTCACCTTAACGAAGGGATGGTGAAGGAGACGAGAGGCCTTCCAGCGGTCCTCCGGACGAGACTGGAAACAGTGAGACAGGAAATCGTGCCCCTCGTCCGGCAGCGCTGCCGCGGCAACCGAGGGGGATTTCCCAGTCCCAATCTGGAACATGATCTGGTACTGGTTGTCGTACTCCGGCCAGGGGAGTTTCCCCGTTGCCATCTCCACGACGACGCAGCCCACGCTCCAAATGTCCAGGGGTCTCCCCATCTCCTGTTTCAGTACCACCTCCGGAGACAGGTAGGCTGGGGGAGAGAGGAGAGGGAGATGAAAGGAGGAGAGGAGAGGGAGATGGAAGGAGGAGAGGGAGATGGAGAGAGAGAAAGGAGGAGAACGATTTTAATAACCCATTAATTGAGACACTCTAGATAGTACAAACGGACAGGTAAACTTCATTATGTTAGGTTCACACACTAACACATGTAAGTATGATTCGCTATTGCTGTCCTGAAGTTGAACACAATACTGTGTATGTAGTGGACGATCAAACCAACACCACACACACTGCTAATGAGCATGCCCCTGCGTGTGTACTGTGCAATACTGTGTATGTAGTGGACGATCAAACCAACAACACACACACTGCTAATGAGCATGCCCCCTGCGTGTGTACTGTGCACTGGTCTTACGGACGGTGCCGACTTGTTGTCTGATCTCATTAGGTAGAGTCTTGTTGAGGTTCTTCAACTGAACGCTGAGACCGAAATCACCCAGCTTTATCGAGTCATTGGAGAGGAAGATGTTGGCACCTGTGGAAGATTTGAGACAGAGAGAGAGAAAGTGAACGTTTGGTAAAGTGGTCTTGGTTTGTAACAGAGAGTCGTGCCATGTGATTCTGAATGAGTGTGCGCGTATATGAAACCACCTCATTGAACTGACGCTTGATGTCCCTGTGAATGATGCCCTTGCCTTAATGCCTTCTTTTTCCCCATGCAACGACCGCGGCAACTGACCCTTGATGTCCTGTGAATGATGCCCTTGCTGTGGAGAAGGTCCACTGCTCTCAGGAGGTCTCTGGTGTACCGTCTGATCATGTGTTCGGGAAGACCTTGCTGTGCGATTGACCACAACGTTCCCTCGTGGCAGTACTCCATGAACAGAAACAGCTCCGTCTGGGAGTGAGAGGACACACGTACAATTGAGAGGACACACGTTATGACATTATGGTGCATTCCTCATTCGGAGGACTACGCGGTTTACTCACTGAGCTACTATAAGGTCAGCTCAACTGGCAGGAGCTACACTCATACCTCAGCACTGACCCACTGTACTTTGCATAGTACGTATGTACACAATTTAGCTCACATGGTGAATAGTAATGTAGCTCACGTGGTGAATATGGTGAATGTAATTTAGCTCACGTGGTGAATAGTAATGTAGCTCACGTGGTGAATATGGAGTATAGTAATGTTAGCTCACATGGTGTATATGGAGTATAGTAATGTAATGTAGCTCACATGGTGAATAGTAATGTAGCTCACATGGTGAATAGTACTGTTAGCTCACGTGGTGGATCTCGAGGCCGTGGAACTGTACGATGTTCCTATGAGAGACCTTCTGGAAGATTCCGATCTCGTCGCAGATGCTCTGAAGTGTCCCCGAGTCTTTCTCCTGTACCGACATCTGCTTCACTGCCATCATCTCTCCCGTGTCCAGGTTACGGCATTCGTACACCTTGCCGAACCTTCCCTCCCCTGGACGAAAGGGATAAGATTTAAAAAGGGAGTATTACAGCAATTCAAGTGTTTTAATTCAAAAGGTTGTATAAAGTGTCGCTCACTCTCTCACACATGAAAATGTGCCTACTACTCATAAATCTCGTATTTTCCATGGCACGGTTTTCCTCTGCTACCAGTAAATGTGTAAAAACAAGTCCACGTCAACCGGAGTTTGTGCAAATATGTTCAACACATCGTACATTTGAAGTCACACGCAGCTTTTTGTCACGTAAAACAAAGTAGATCACGGCCAATGAACATATTTCAGACTGTTTTTCCTGACGTCATTGCAATAGTACAAATTCTCTCAAAGTTCCGATGCTCACCTAGTTTTCTTCCTCGCTGCCATTTGAAGTGGGTCTGGACCAGAGTGTTGAGTCGCACGGGGTGATGATGGTGGGAGGGTGCGGTCGACTTCACCCTCCCTATCACCTTCTTACCTCGCAGCTCATTGTCTCTGTTCTGGGTATATACAGACAGACAGAGGGATAATGTTACTTACTTACGTATGCTTGTCTACAGGCAGACAGAGAGGTGGTGGTAAAGGGAATGTGGCAGTATAATACATAAGGGCTGAAATGTTACTCCTGTTTTCCTGATATATACCTCACTAACAAATTTTCCACTTTTTTTACTAGGGTTTGCAGTAGGAAAATTCGAACTAAATAATCAAGAACTGTATACAATGCTTGTTTTAGGTCAAAAACTATATTTGGGTGAAAATATGAACCCAAATGGAAATTAAATGATGTCATACCAGTTCCAGTAGTTGTATCTTCTTTCTGATCTTCGTGATGCGATCTCCTCCCCCCTCACCCCCTGATTCGCTGCCGGCCCCCGAGCCCCCCGAGGGGGACCGGGAGAATGGGGAACCGTACATACTGGCCGCGGAGGCCGTGCTGGTGTTGCTCTCCTCGCGGTCCAGAGTGGTCTGTAGTATGATTGGTATGGGGGAGGGGTGGGGAGGTGGGGGTGTGTGGGCTGGCAGGGAGGAGAGAGAAACATAATACAGTGGATCCTCGAACAAGGGACTCTATGTAATATGGGGCAACGATTTTGTCCCTTGTAGAGAGGTCGTCCCTATCTCGGAGGTCAAATAATACACTAAAGTATTAGCATGGGGTTGAAACAAGTGTCCCTTGTAGAGAGGTCGTCCCTATCTCGGAGGTCAAATAATACACTAAAGTATTAGCATGGGGTTGAAACAAGTGTCCTTTGTACATAAAGTATTCACACCGATAATGAGATTACGTAATGATACAGGCAAAAGGTGTCCCCCAGTGTAGGTTTTATACATCGTAGCTACAAGCTGGACTAACTAATAGGCCTACCTGTATAATTGACTTACTAATGAAGGGTCTGGGGTTGTTGTCGTTGGTTACGGGAGGGCTGTGGTGACCTGAGCTAACAGACTCGGTTGAGACAGGCGGTGAGTTGACCACACCCACTTCCAGGTCAATTCCAATACTGTTGGAATGGGAATCGGACTCGAAAGTGACCCTGGGTGCTGCTGCCAAAGAGCAACAGACTCTTGTTACTTGCACTACTTGTATATAACTCTACCAAAAACATGGAGATTACACGTTTTTCTGATACGCATGAAAGAGCACACTCATATAAAACTGTAATTGGTACAGGACACTTTTAATCAGGACACCTTTTGCCGCACACACACACACACTCTCTCTTTCTCCCCCCCATACTCTCTTACCTCTCGGAGTGCTCTCCAAATGTCCGTCCACCTCACCTCTCTCTCTCTCCACTTCTTCCTCTTGTTCGTCCACAACCTCCCACCCTCTCCTCCTCCCTCCCTCCTCCCCCTCCTCCTCCTCCTCTCTCACATTCGACATTCTCTGCCTCAAATGGTGGGGGTCTGACACACACGACACAAGAACGGGGGACTTCTTCCGTCTGAAATTTCCGGGGGAGCGACGGGGGGTCGTGGGGGGCTTCGGGAAATTCGGGAAGCCCCCCATTGTGGGCGGGGCCTCGCCAATGACGTGGTCTAGGCTTCGGTTCATCAGTTTCTGAGACTCTCGAAGTTTGTGGGAGACATGTGAGCCAGCTGGCGAGGGGCGCAGGCCAGAGTGAGGAAATCCAGACCCATGGAGGCCCATCTGATCCGATGGGATGGGAGGATTAGGATGGGAGGGAGAGAGACACACATTTATGAGAGTACAGTCACTTATATACTATACTGTTAACAATAGATATACAAGTAGAACAAATTCTTATGCAATGCTGGCGAGAAAATGCAAGTAGTTTAATTTTTCGCGCACGTGTAGTTAGAATGCATAGTATTAACCCTACCCCCCATGCTCATCGCCAATAAATTTAGACCCCCTAGCCCCCCTGACCTCTGACCTTGGTCGCTGTCCTCTCCCTCTCTCGCACTTCTCGAGGACAAATCTCATCCAGAGCTGAGCGTACTCGAGAATCTGGTCTCCCAGTTTCCTGTAGGCCACGTCTTCCCCCACCAGTCGGAACACATCTCTGATATACTGGGGGAAGAGAGGGAGCAGGAATTACTTACCTTTCAGAAAATTTAGAATCACGTTGTATAATATAGAACATTACAGTACGTGCACATACACGTCACACATACATAGTAGAGACGAGAGAGATAGCTCGCGATGCAGAGACGACTAGAGAGAGAGAGAGAGAGAGAATTCTCGCATTCAGACGACAAGGTACATAGGTTTGCTTCACCCACCAACATACAATGCCACACATACTGGCAGTGGTACAAAATGTACCTCGAATCCGAGGTTGAAGCAGGCGTGCATGGCGGTCTGATAGCTGGTGTCCTCACTCCCCCTCTCCTCCGAACACAGCTGCACCTCACTTGGTGGCCGCCCATTATCAGCTGGTCCGCCAGCTTACACGCTGCATGCTGGAGAGATGATGTCATCATTACGTAATTCACCAATAGCAGAGGTCTACGAAATAAAGCTAGATTCTAGGAATGAGTTTGCACCGGCTGGGCGTATAGTGTCCTCGCTGTGCTCAAAACACCACAACCTATACCCTTAGTGTCTGAACCTTGAGGTCATGAATCCTCGTGGCAACATTCTCGTGGCTGGAGGTCTGCTCGTTGGTGAGAAGAACGGCCTTTCCCAGAGCGTTGAGGAAAGATGTCCGACAGGCGGCTAGGTGGGCGGAGCTTGCCACTATCATCTTTACACATTCAATCTGTCGGTATACATGTATCACACACATAGAGACGAGAGAGAGAGAGAAGGGGGGAGGGGAGAGTGGGGGCATTTTAAATTTTACAATGCACACACACACACACACACACCAACCTCACATAAATCACTTCAAAAGCCATGCTCTCTATTATAATAAACCAACACCACTAAACATCGTATGATCAAATGATTTTCATGTGACAGATCATGTGACCTGCATCTCAGAGACGGCGATGGTGGTTTCGGCGGGCACCTTCAGGTCCACGACGTGCCCCGCCCACTCGCTGCCCGACATATCCATGGCAACCAGGAGAATGTACGAGTCTTTGAGATCGAGGCTGGGGTCAGAGTACGCGAAACTGGCGCTCAAGAGCTGCTGAATGTCTCTGAGAGGAAATGGAGAATGATAAATCAAAACTACGAGAAACAAAGAAGATAATACGAAGAGAGGAAGGCCTGAATGCCTTAATTGGCACAACAATAAAATTTAGGACAAATCAACTATTTACAGTGTGTACTAATTTACAAGTATAAACTGAAACTGGTATAATACTGTAGAAAGAAGAGGGGAGGGCAATAACTACCAGATTGAAACAGTAAGAACAAGAATTTCACGTGTATAATATTGCATAATGTACAGATACCCAGGTGGAAACAAGTGATGTAATCACTCACTCAACACTCTCTCTCATGAGGTCAGGAACAAACACCATCTTCCCCGTGGGGCTGGGCAGCTCCACCCGGGCGTGGTCAGAGGCCCGCAGTCCCTCCAACAGCTCACCGGGTCCGACCGTCACTGTGAAATCAGCCGCTATCTCCAGGTCCTGTATTGAATGCGGGACAACAGGTAACATACCGGGTCGTCCCATTATTAAATGGGACAGATGTAGAACTATCAACATACAGACTCAAGGAAACATGTAGATCATTGACAAAACAGTATTCACTGGTGCATTTACCATTTGTGCTAAATAAGTTAATAGGCAACTCTCCCATTGCTGTGTAATGACTGGATAAACTGGTTTGTGAGACCGGATAAACTGGTTTTTGAGAATTTTGATTACCTTTCTCAACATCTTTGCGAATCCGATGGCCTTCGATGCTTGTTCCCTCACTTCCACAAACAGAGATCTGAACTGTCTACACGACTCCAGTGAATAGGACCTGCGGTTTTAGGGAAAAAATCCAAGGGAGGGAGAAGAGGAAAAAATAGTGGATACATAATTATTTTTCATACAACATGCCCATAATTTTTTGAAGAAAAACAATATTTTGGAAGAAGTTTTATGGATAAAAAACCAGTGGAAGGAGAAAAAACTCGTGGTAGAATAAAAATATCTGCTCACCTCTGCTCCTCGTAGCTGTTCTCCAGATCATGGAGATGATGACACGTTTCGTCCATTCTAGCTTCAAACATGTCTCCCGTCGAATCCAGCAGGTGAGCCGCCATGTCACTGGAGTAGAGGAACAGCAATGGATTATGACACGAGGAGGCGAATGTACATGTATAGTGGAACCTCCGATGACGGACCCTCTGAGATAGGGACAACCTCTCTACAAGGGCAAATTGGTCCCACGGTGTCCCTTGTTCGAAGGTTCCACTGTAAATCAAAGCCAGGACAACACTTATGCAAATGTTTGTTACAAGACAACCTCCAAAATGGAGCTGCTGCAGTGGGTGGTGAGACTCGATCCCACGACACTCCCCCCCCCCTATAGGCAGAGTGCTCTACCACCTGGGCAACTGAGCAGTCAAGTAAACTCGATGCGAGTTGAAATGCGAGATTTAGTACACATGATTGTCACGTGGAAGTGAAGTGTAAGGAGAGGGTTAAATGATTGTCACGTGGAAGTGAAGCATAAGGAGAGGGTTAAATGATTGTCACGTGTGAGTGAAGTGTAAGGAGAGGGTTAAATGATTGTCACGTGTGAGTGAAGTGTAAGGAAAGGGTTAAATAGCTCACCAGAATCTTCGGCCTGCCTCAGCCTCTCCAGATCTGATGTGGGAGCAAATCTTCTTCACGTGTCTCCATTCATCCTCCAGAACATGGCCAGTGGAGAGATGGACCCACTTCTGCAGGTAGTTGAAATAGATCTAGGAGGAGGGGGAGAATGGGGAGGGGGAGAAGGGAGGGAGAATGGGGAGGGGGAAGAGGTAATTGGTGTTTCAATAGTGAATTAAATTCCCAAACATACAAGAAACCCCGCTTTACGCACAATCATCTAACTTCGAAAAAACTTTTGTAAACCCTCTCATTACTACCCTCAGTCCATTACCATGAGAAGGATGACTACTTTTAACCCTCTCCCCACTACCCAGGCTCAACATGAAGCCTGACTTTTAACCCTCTCCCCACTGCCCCAGCTCATCACGAAGCCTGAATTTTAACCCTATCCCCACAGCCCCAGCTTACCAAAACAAGGACGACTATTTTAACCCTCTCCCCACTGCCCCAGCTCATCACGAAGCCTGAATTTTAACCCTCTCCCCACTGCTCACCATGAGTACTCTGTTCAGGTCACTTTCAAAGAACTCCATGTCTTTATCGACTTGCTCCTTGGAGTGGTCGCTACGGGTTACGACCTCCATGACCTCTCGGTACTTCTTGCGGACCTCTATGGCTTCCCCGAGAGTGTTGCGACATTCGGTGACCAGCTGCAACCATGAGAGAGACAGACGAGTGAGAGAGAGACACACAGCAAACACAAGGCATACTGGTAGAGAAGAGTAGCTTCGTGCAGTTTGTGTATAAACGGGGGCGCACAGCACAGGTTCAGGCAAATCTCATTTTTTGAGTTTTCTCGACATAGACACACACTCAACACTAAGAACTATTACTCGGTAAAAGACTCCATATTTATGAGGCGATTGCATGTTAGAAAGAGTAATAACCGTTCATAATAGTGATTATTTTTATACTAGCTATTGTGGAGGTATTCATTTGTCGCAGTACTTTGTATTTACAGTGCAATTTATGTACGTATCATAAAATGTTCATTTTTTGACCAATTTTGGAGTTGGTTAACACGGAATTACACATGAAAAGAGTGTGTGTGAGCTCCTACCTGTCGCACACTGAGAGGAGACGGTTTGTCTGGCAGCTGCAACCCCAACTGAAGCTTCAGACACTCGTGCATCACGTCCAGAGGGATGTGCACTAATTGGATATACTGCCGTCCGAAGTGAGGAAGGTTGATCGACTCAAACTCCAGACCCCAGTCCAGAGAGTTCACCGACATCGTCCTCTCGTACGTCACCTCGTGGGTGGGGTAGGCGGAGCTGTGGGTGTGGCTCCGGTAGTGTTCAAACGACTGGGCGGAGGAGGGGAGGGGTGCGAGGTAGGCCCTGAGACCAAGCAGAGGTCGCCTCTCCAGCTCCTAGTGAGGAACCAAGAGAGAGAGAGAGAGAGTCACATTTTTGTTGCGGCTATAGCCATTTTGGTGCATTACACCTGTAACATCTTTATGAAGTACATACACAACGCATGTACACACAGTACATGTATATACATGTATGTGTATAACATTACTAGGAATTGGCGGGCGAGCGCGTGAACATTTACTCTGTTTTACACGTGCATACATGTAGAGTGTTTTTATGCAACGCATCGGCAAGCAGCGGTGTGAAAACTTTCAGCTGCAGTTCTAACGTAATAGTAGAGCATTAAGGAACACTGCTGGACTGTTGACATACAGTAATGGTGTAATTCACTCCACCAGCACACTTTGCCCACTCGCCAATACAAATTGTGCACATTAAAATCAATTTAACCCCTTGCTCACCTCCTGACTGGCGTCGTCAGTATCCTCTGTACCCTGACCCGTGACCACAGGAGTCAGCGCCGCAGCACACAACTCCTGAACCGGAGTTATGAAATTCTGCACCACTTCCATCAACTTCCTCAGACCCTTTGTCTTCAGACCCCCGTCAACAAATTTCCTGTACGGCCCCCTCAGCCCCCCTTCCACCGACATACTCTGGTAACTACTGAACATTCGTTGGAGGGTCCCTCGAGATACTACCGACCCCCCGGACGAACTCTGACCCCTACTGGCGAACCGTTTCAGCGACTGTTGGGGGTCGAGAAAATCGCCTGTGGGGGAACCGACGGAGAACAATTTGGAGCCCCCCTCTTCCTCCTCCTTCTCCCCCTCACCGCCGAGGGCAAACGAAACAGTCTTGGATTCGTTGCTAGTGGACCTGGAACACTCTCCCTCTTCCCGGCACATTTCCGGGACGATGATGGCCCATGCCCAGCCACCCAGACAACGTCGCCAAGGCCTGCGCTAATCCCTTCGTAACCTTCAACCACAGAGTGAGTGCGTCAACCTTTCTCCTGAAACTGAGAGTGCGGTATTGCGGATGCTCGTCTCCAATATTCCGACGGTTTTGAAACGTGCCCTCCACCCTCTCCAGTTGCTCCAGGATGTCTGTTACCTTGGAGACGGCAGAGTTTTGGGCTGGACTGAGGAACTCTTGTGGTGCTATCTTGTTGTGTTGAGGAACATCGTCATTGGAGTCCACGGACCACGGCTGGGAACGGAGCGAAGTCGTCACGGAAGACATTACATCTTCCTCCTCCCCTCCTCCCCCATCGTCACCCATCACAGTGGAAGAGTCGGTGCTACATTTCTCTAAACAGGAGGGAAATATCAGTCATTACAGTTGTAGCTATATACTTGCATAGTTTAAACTTTACAGGATCATCTGTGTATACTATGCATGACATACAGTATTTACCTGGACTATCTCTCTTCCCTTCGTCTGGCCCCTCCCCCACCACCTCGTACCCCTCCCGGTGACTCCCGTTGCCATGGTTACATGGCTGGTAGTCGGGGGCAGCCTGGAACATGGTGTTGAGACTTGACCGTCGGATCGGCAGTGGGCACTATTTGGAAATGAACCACCTGCCAGGGAGATCAAACATGCCAACATGATTGTATATACAACAAGCAGGCACTATTGGACCGCTAAAGGACCTAAAGTGCACATTACACGTAAGCATCTTAATTCCTGCAAATTCATGTGTGCACTTTGCACTCACACAAATTGAAATTCCCCTGCTACCTACCTATGGCTGAACCATAACTTCATGCATTTCACATGTTTTATACACTAAATGAGGACACATAAAGACTTTGATTACATCCACACTTTCCGCCAGTAGATATGTATTCACGTTGTGGGATGCCGTGGATACCTGCATGAGGACCTTCGACACCCTCTCTTGAGAGAAATAGTGGAGCCACTCTCTCTGCTCCTCTTTCTGTCGCCCCTGGAGATGAGCCTGTAGCTCCACCCACAACTCTTCCATCACACGAGCTGCAGTTTACACACACACGACAGAAAATTATATCATGTTTACTCGCACCTCCACACATAACATAAAACAGTTTTTCTTTCACTTTCAATGGAACCAGCATAATGAATGAACCATTTTTAGAAAAAGTGTAAATCTATTTGGCACACAGAAATAAACTAGCTCAAACAACATTGTTCAGGTATTACAAATCCTATTTTTTTGTTAACAGAGACATCCTGAATTGCAGTGAAACTTACTATAATTGAATTTTTACAACATGTACATGTGCATACCTTGAGGGTTTTCCAGTCCAAGGTTCTCGGAATGGAACCGGGACATGTGGGGATGGAACGGGGTCTCAGGGGGGTGTGGCTGAGGCCGGCTGATCCCCGCTGCGTACTTGAGAGCCTTCTGAAACCTCTTGAAGAACTGCTTGCGATCCAGGGGACACACGGCCCCACCCCCCTCTGGTTGCCACGGGCGACCGGGGAACCCTGACGTCGGCATGGTAACGTGAGCGTCGGAGTAAGAGCGGTAGACCCGCCCGGGCAGAGCCAGCCGGAACTGGTCACCTGACTCTTCGGCCAAGATTCGGTTGAGTCCGGCGCTGGACGAGCGATGAGGAGGGAGGAAGTTGAGAGACGAAGTGAGTGGGTCGGTGGGGCTGTCGCCATGGAGATGGAGAGAGGGTGTGTAGTCAGGGAGGTCGACTGATTGGACTGGGATTAGAGGGGGTCTGCTGCGTCGAGGGGGGTGCGGGGAGAGGGGCAGGGGGGCATGCTGGGGGGTGAGAGGACTGGAAGGGTTCTGGGTCGTTTTCTCATCGCGATCGTGTGAGATCCTCTGCTGCTCCCTCTTCTTCTTCCGTCTCTGGAGTGAGCGGTCGTCCCCGGCAACAGAGTGTCCATGGGAACCCTCTCCTCCTCTAGTAGCGGCACTGCTGCGTCGTCTCCCCCCTGACCTCTGGCGACTCTCACGTTTCATCTCAATTGCAGGGGCAGTGTTCCTTCTCCCCCTCCCCTCCTCCTTCTCCGTCTTCCCTGACTGCAGGGCTACCATTGACTTTGGTCGTCTAGTGATGACGTCTCGGTGCCGCAGTTTCGGAACGTGACCAAGAGACATCTTCTTCCCTCTCTTGTACTTGTGACCTCTGCGGGCGTGTTTCATGTAGCGACTGCCGGCAGGGGGCGTGGTCCCGGGGAGACCTGAAGGTGAGGGCAGTTCGTCGCTTTCTTCATCTCCTTTTCCCTCTTCTTGCCATCTCCAACTCGTTGGTTTCAGTAATTTTCTTTTCCCTTCCTCCTCTTCCTCCTCCTCTACCTTGTCCTCAAAGTAATCCTCTTCTTCTTCGGCTTCAACTCTAGTCAAATGTCCTCGGCTGATTTTCATTCCCTCTCCCTCTCCTAACACCCTCTTCCCCACAATTTCCCTATCCTCTCCCTCCCTCTCGTCATCTTGTTCTTCTCCCTGGTGGCCGCGATCCGTACTCAGAATAAATATATCTTCTTCGTCTTCCTCCTCCTTTCTCTCCTCTGTCATGACTGCACCATCAGTAAGTGATCTTCACAGAGAGAAAAAAGGATAGAGAGGAGGTATGGTGTATCCTTTTCGCGAGAGTATAAAAAGGTAAGAACGTACGTACGACTCTTTGCGGGCACAGGAGAAGAAAATAATCCCAAATAATAGTGCTGTTGCAGTGTTTACAATGCTCACATACAACCGATCTGTAGGCTGTTTATCGTCCCCGAGACAACATCTTGTACTGGTTGTACCTTCCGTAGATGCGTGCAGTGGAGAAACGACGCTCCTCCACCACACAATCCCACAAACGCGAAGCGGTGACGTCCCTTTTTCTAAATAACGCGCACTAAAAGGTCAATGCACGCGTGACCTTTAACCCTTCGCGAGTTAATTTCCCCGCCCAAGTATCGTGTGCGCATGCGTGTCACGATTTGCTGAGCTGTGTGAGAGAGAGCTGATGGCAGGAGAAGACGGTAACCTTAGTTTGGTCCTAAGAGGACCTGGAGACTTGCAGCTGGTGAGAGAGAAAGATATTGGGGGAATCTCTATGTGTGTTGTTCACTGATATTCCCTGCAGGAGCAAAGACCCGTACCTAAACCGGCAAGAGGAGGTAAAATACCTGATACCGTGTCATGGGCCCATTGGGCTACATCTTATCACACTGTCAGTAAACAATAAGACATTTATTCCTTCTGTTCTTTCGTGACCTTCTTTTAGTAAACCTTTATTTGATAAGAGTACCAGGCTTCTCAGAGCCACTTATCTGCGAAAGTTTTGTGTATATCTCGGAAATAATTACGTACCCTCCACACCCTCCCGCCCTCCCTCCCTCCGTTCCCCCAGAGGTGTTGCTAGGGATGCGGTCGGTGGGGATATGTGGGTCTGACGTCCACTACTGGACACACGGGAGGATCGGGGACTTTGTCCTCACGTCACCCATGGTGATGGGTCACGAGGCCAGTGGAAAGGTCGTCGCCGTGGGAGACGGAGTCAAAGACTTGAAGCCAGGTACAGCGTGATTCAGTAACTATAATGTACAATAAGCAAGAGTAGGTGCAGCAAATTTTAGCGTGAACAAGCATCAGGCCAAGACAGACACTATATATAATGTGCTGCATAATGCATATGCACTGTATAATGATACATTGAGCATAAAGAGCTGTCTTATATTCAGAGGTTATATAAACATGTTAGCAAAGGATTAGACTACAGAGATGTGTCCTTTATCGTATAAGAGGTCCCACTATATGTAGTCGTGCAAGCAGTTCTCTGTGATGTTTACAGTGCTTATGTAGCTTTGCTATGCTAGTATATCCTTCCTCACCTGCCCCCTCCCTCTTTCCTTCCCTCTCAGGGGACAGGGTGGCTATTGAGCCTGGCGTACCATGTCGGACGTGCCCCCACTGCAAAGACGGACGCTACAACCTGTGTCCCGACATGAGGTTCTGCGCTACACCGCCAGTCGATGGCTCACTGGCTCAGTTCTACTGCCATCCTGCAGATTTCTGCTACAAGTAAGTGTTTATGTCGCCACACTCCTTTTTGAATTACACCTTTAGGAAACCCCAGCTTTAATTGTTCATTTACTGCTTGCTGCATTTTTGATTTTCGCTCCTGCTAATCTGACACTTCTTTCCCACAAAACGAAGTTGTAATGCAAAGTCGTGGAAGGTCTGCAATAAGCTCAGGGGCATACAAGAATGGGGCAGTCGAAATGATGACGTTTGTGGCAGCTACTGATTATGTGAGGCATTCGATTGAAACATTTTGTCGATTGCTTGTCCCCCGCTTGTCCATACGCCATACCTGCAAAACTTTCAGCGCTCTTCAAAACGTCCGATCTGCAAACAGTGTTTTCACAAAAAACTTACAGCAGCTCACCCCTCCCTCCCCCACCTCTGCAGACTCCCGGAGAATGTCTCCTACGATGAGGGAGCGTTGCTAGAGCCACTCAGTGTCGGCGTCCATGCCTGTCGGAGAGCCGGGGTGGCTCTGGGCAGCCACGTGCTAGTCTGTGGAGCAGGTAATAAAACGTCTCTGTTGTGAATTAACTCGTTGTGGTTCAGAGCACACCGACTTTATGTTAACTAGTACGCAATGTGAGAGAAAGTGATAAAGAAGAGGCTATATAGAGTATATATGGTTCATACTTGGGACTTTGCATGTCACACGCGTAGGGTGGGCTTAAATGTTGCTTATATTTCATATTACACACATTATTGTACATGTATGTATGTAATAGAGTTAGCTCTTTCTCACTTCCCCTCACCTCCTTCCCTCCCTCACTCACCGACTCCCCCCCAAGGTCCAATAGGTCTGGTGTGTCTTCTCACGGCCAAAGCCTGCGGTGCTACCTCTGTCATTATTACTGGTAATGTCTCCATTCTTACAGTATAGTGAAAACAGGCCCTTTTGGATAATACTTATATATTGCCTTTGTTTATTCATAGCCTCAATAGCTTATATGTATATACACCCATCCTAATGGGGTACAGTGAATCCTCTGAAAAAGGGTCCTCGGAATAAAGAACATTTGGTTCTGTACCTCTGAGCAAGGGACACCTCTGAATAATAGGTGCTTTCGATGTCCCTCTCCCATATCTATTGCACATCTCCAGATCTAGATGCAGGGAGGTTGGAGGTGGCAAAGAAACTAGGAGCTGACCACGTTGTCCAGGTTTCGACCCGGGACAGTCTCCAGCTGTCCCGGATTATAACTGAGCAGCTGGGGTGTGAGCCAGATCAGTCGATTGAGTGCTCGGGGGCTGAACCCAGCATTGCCACAGCCATATATGTACGTGAGCTCACTCTCTCTCTCTCCCTCTGTCTCCCTCTTACTTATTCCCTTGTCTTCCTTCACGTTCACATTTCCTCACATCAAACTACGAAGAACTGCACCTGCACAATTTGTTTAAATAACTTACATAATAGCTGTGAAACTTATTTTGCACAATTATACACCATAGGAAAGGACTATAGTAGGAAAAGTTTGAAGGTGGATAACGTTTTGTACTTCGTGGTATGGATTGCCATATATTTCCCGGCCACACAAATTCTCAAAATATTTCTAGCTCAAAAGCTATACTCCCCCATCATTTTGGTGCCAGTATATTCTCCCTCTCTCTCTCTCCCTACCTCCCTCTCTCTCCCCCCCCTCTCTCTCTCCAGTCCACCAGAAGTGGAGGTACGGTGGTGCTGGTGGGGATGGGGGCAGCAGAGGTCAAACTGCCCATCATCAATGCCTCTGTCAGAGAGGTCGACATACGAGGGATATTCAGATATGTCAACTGGTGAGCTGTGTATCCATGTCAACTGTGGATCATGCACTTATTCAAACTCACTATACATGTTGTTGAGATAATGCACACGACTACGAAATTGTATTCACGTTGAATTTGAAACTATTTGACCTTTTTTGAACCAAACATCTCTATGGTACTCGAAATAATGTGTATTTAAAAGTGCACTGATAACTGAACTGTGCCTGCGTACATACAGTTCATGGACTTATAGAAACTCCAAATTTGGTGATGGGTAATCAGTGCTAAGCCCCGCGTGTGGCATATTATTATTATCTCTCTGTATAGTTACCCGACAGCTCTAAAGATGGTAGCATCAGGACAGGTGGACGTAAAACCTCTCATAACTCATACGTATGAGCTGAGGGACAGCGTTAAGGTGAGGGTGTCCTGATTAGTGAGGTGTCCTGATTAGTGAGTGTGTCCTGATCAGTGAGGTGTCCTGATCAGTGAGGTGTCCTGATTAGTGAGGTGTCCTGAAGTCCAAAGTTTGAATCAAGCTTGTACCTATAGTATAGTCCCAATTCAACGTTGTCACCCTCCTCCTCCTCCTCTCCTTTCCCCAGGCATTTGAGCGGGCCAAGACCGGAGACGGTGGAGCCATCAAGATCATCATCAAGTGCGGACAGACAGACTAAGTATTTACAATCTTGTCTTTATGTACAGAGAGACATCTTAAAATCAGCCATTTTTGGGTCAACCCATTTTTTGATGGGTCTCATTTCACGAAGTATAGGCAGAGACGTACATTCGAAAATCTTGTGTAGGAAGTCATCCTATTTCGTGCAACATTTTACATTGCCACTGATACCTATGCTTTTAAGGTTGCATTCAACTTCATCTCAAAGCTGCATCCTGTATCATGCCATTGAAGTGTATGTGGTGCCATTGAAAAACAAAAAGCAGCCCTGAGACTTGCTTACTACGTACCTCAGAGCCAGTCATGTACTGCTGCCTGGCCCTGCAAAGAAGATGTACACACCTTGCCCCTTGTGGCCCTGACTAAAGTTGAATCCGCACTCTGACAAGGAAACCTGGATCTTTCACTGCATTCATTAGTAAAACAGGGCCTTTTCATTGGCTGAATAACCAGTGAGCCTCACAACTCTCAATTAGAATCAAGACCATCGGTTTTCACACTACGATATTAATAGTTGTGTTACGGTATAAATAGTTGCGCATGAGCTTCAAACAACAGGGCAAAAGAGAGAAACGTTGGTTTTTTACCCGAGAGACTTGGTTACGACAAACGAAACATATCCAGGTAAAAGAGAGACGGAAAATCGTTTTTTCCTGAGTTTCAGAAGCTCAAACAGCTGGGCTACCATGCATCAGTTGTATTGCTACGTCGTTCTCCAAGCGGCAGCTTTTGTGGCCCTAGTGGGATTAGCAGGGCCATCCCTCATCCTGGGTTTGACGAATTCGAGTTTCGCCACCAGGCACGGATACAAGACCAAGAGGCTCGTGTTCAGGAGGAGGAGGGAGGGGACGCTCACAACGAGGAGTATGTAAAGCAAAACGAGCTTTCGTCGGCGCAAATCGCGGCCTATTTCAAGTACGGAGGCTACAACCTTGCAGCCAAGGAAGAAGCAGAGATACAAGACGACAAAGATAGCCTGCCGGCAGATTTTGATGACAAGATTGCCAAGCATGCAGACAATGAAGATGATGAAAATCCTGAAGAAGAGTCACCAGGGCAGTATTATGCAGAAGAGTCACCAGGGGAGGTTTATGCAGCAGACAATGAAGATGATGAAAATCCTGAAGAAGAGTCACCAGGGCAGTATTATGCAGAAGAGTCACCAGGGGAGGTTTATGCAGCAGACAATGAAGATGATGAAAATCCTGAAGAAGAGTCACCAGGGCAGTATTATGCAGAAGAGTCACCAGGGGAGGTTTATGCAGCAGAGTCACCAGGGGAGGATTATGCAGAATACAACAATTATGACAACTATGACGAAGGTAATGCAGTTAAAATGGATGGCCCAGGGGATGGAAATGAAGGAGACTATCTACCTGCAGAGTTGGAAGACGACTATGGCTTCATAGAAGACTTTGAGAGTTCCCGCGAGGCTGCGGAGGGAGAGATACCGTCGCATCAAGCGACCTCTGCTAAACCGTCCAACCTGCAGGACAACGTGTTGAACCTTTTAGTTGTGGATAGGGATCAAACTGATGAGAAAACTCCAGAATTGCAAATTTTGGTTCTACAACCGGATCCGACGATTCAAGCTACCAACAGCGAGAGGAAAGCGGGAAATTCTCCCAGGGGAGCAGGGAGACCTCGAGGAGACGGCCGTGGTGAACACGGTGCTGCTAAGGCCTCTGTTCAAGACGACGGGCTGAATGTCGGGAACAGAGATCAGAATACTGGCACAGCCCCCGATGGACAACAAGGCTTTGAAGATTTCTTTCAAAATCTCGCGAAATCATATCCCCAGCCTGGAGGAGCCGGTGGCCAAAATAACGAGAACCAATATTTGGCCAACCGACATTCTCAGCAAACTATCGTCGATGACGATGAATCGAGTGAGAGCGTGATGGATGATTTATTGCAGGGTTTGGTGATCGTTCCCGTATCGGATACGAGCGATGCTCTATATTATTACACTGGCCGCGCTGGTGGCAACTCTCCCAGTGACTATGCATACAATGGAGGCGGCACTTACAATAGCGCTGGTCAGTATGGATCTGGACCTAACGGGGGTCAGGACAGAGGAGGAGGGGCGCGAGGAGGAAGGCCACGAGGAGAAGCAGTAAAATCATTCAGGGCCTACCGTCTCCCTCTGAGGTATATTATATATACATCACAGTTCAAACAGCGAGACTGCTGAATAAGGGACACACCTTATGATTAACGTGTCCTTTATTCAGAGGCGGCGTGGACAGTATAATAAATAATACCCTAAAGTCGTTTTGAGGTGTACTTGCTTTAGGAAAGGCAGTAATTTGGTGGTTGATCTTACAACAGATGTTTTCCTCTTAATTGCCCACCGTTTACTTATGTGCTCAGAGCACAACATCTTAGTGCACTGGAATGATAGCAACATTATCAGAGAGCAATTTCAACTGCCAGATTACGTGGTGTGTACATTTAGAAGGATCGCCAGAGTCAGGAGGCAAAGAGAAGCGTCGAAATCAGGCGTCATGATTGAAAGTCTAGTGCACTAACTACACAATGAGCTAAATTCTTAGATAAAAGCGGTTCTTCTTTCCCTCCTGACCCGAGTATTTCTACCATATCTTGCATAAGGTATATATGATGATAGCGCCGTATGAAAATTGCACTTTTTCGAGCACTAGGTGGCTTGCTAATAACTTTAACTAGGAATGCGCACGCGCATATTTTGCCTCGCGCCTAGCCTGCCAGCCATATAATGTCCGACTGAGGCCGCTTGTGCGCGCGCTCTACTGACTGCGCGCGAAGCCAGACTTCCTATGAATGACGGAAGTTACACTTCCTTTTGGTGACTAATGGACATTCCTAAGCGTGACTAATTGACGACACGTACGTACGAGAATACAACCCGGAGTAGTTGCCTCGCGCTAACGCGCTCGGCAATAAGTATTCAGAGGATTGTTTGTCATGCAGATCCATTAGTGGGAACAGCATAAGTCCAGCAGACCTCCAAGAACGTGGCAGAAAACAAGTCGACCCACCACCCCACGGTGGACAACCCCATGGTGGACAACCCGACAACGAACCACCCCACGGTGGACAACCAGACAACGAACCCCACGGTGGACAACCAGACAACGAACCCCATGGTGGACAACCAGACAACGAACCCCACGGTGGACAACCCCACGGTGGACAACCAGACAACGAACCCCACCCGGGTGGACAACCAGACAACGAACCACCCCACGGTGGACAACCAGACAATGAACCCCACGGTGGACAACCAGACAACGAACCACCCCACGGTGGACAACCAGACAACGAACCCCACCCCACGGTGGACAACCAGACAACGAACCCCACGGTGGACAACCCCACGGTGGACAACCAGACAACGAACCCCACGGTGGACAACCAGACAACGAACAACCCCACGGTGGACAACCAGACAACGAACAACCCCACGGTGGACAACCAGCCAATGAACAGCAGCACGACAGACAACCAAGCAACCAACAACCCCACGGTGGACAACGAAACAACCAACAACCCCGCGGTGGGCAACCAGCCAATGAACAGCAGCACGACAGACAACCAAGCAACCAACAACCCCACGGTGGACAACGAAACAACCAACAACCCCGCGGTGGGCAACCAGCCAATGAACAGCAGCACGACAGACAACCAAGCAACCAACAACCCCACGGTGGACAACGAAACAACCAACAACCCCGCGGTGGGCAACCAGCCAATGAACAGCAGCACGACAGACAACCAAGCAACCAACAACCCCACGGTGGACAACGAAACAACCAACAACCCCGCGGTGGACAACCAGCCAATGAACAGCAGCACGACAGACAACCAAGCAACCAACAACCCCACGGTGGACAACGAAACAACCAACAACCCCGCGGTGGGCAACCACACAACGAACACCATCAAGGCGTACAACACCAGGGTGGACAAGCCCACGACCAACAAAATCGAAACAAAGGCGGACGACACCACTCATCATCCGTGACACACACAGTTTCCCGTCAAGATGCGACTGAGTATGCTGAAGCTCTGATGGCTTACTTGAAGCACTCCAACTGAATTGAAAGCCTGTAAATAATAAAAACTTAGCTGTAGACTGTAGCAAACTGGTAGCTAGCTAGTGCCATTAGTTGTTAGAATCCAAAACTTTGTAGCATGATAGTAGCTGTATAATTATAGTGTCACCTGAGAAAGCTCAAGTGTCATTTTTAGTGTCCCATGAAAATTACATTTAAATTTCAAGCAAACCTATTATGCATTGGCGCTACACTGCATTGTGAAATAGAACGTATGGGCTGGGAAGGCCAAAGAATGTCTTAACATCCAGTCAATGTATGATGATTATTATTAGAAACTGAAGAGCAAGAGAGAGAGCAAGAGAGACAGAAATTATATGAACAGCCAGCAGTGAAGTATGTTCATCACTCAATGATTAGCTCGTCCGCTGCCCAATCTTCGTAGCTTCCGTCTGGGAGGAAGCGTCTGATGATGATTGGAACCTTTTTAGCCCTGGAGTCAGAAAATTCATCGCTGCTACATTAACCTGATCATCCCTGTAATATTTACTTTAACTCTTTCATGGCTATCTTGAGTGGATCGGTCTCTCCTTCAAGTTCTACCATGACTGGTGCCCCCATGCTAATGGAGAAGATGGGGTATGAGAAAATATAGAACGAAAAGGGAAAACAAAGAGGAATGAAGAGAGGGGAAGGAGGGAAGAAGGAGAGGGAGGGAGACAAGATAAGAGAGAGCGAGAGAGGGAGAGAGAGAGAGAGAGAGGAAGGAGTAGGAGAGAGGGAAAAGTGAAGAGAATCAGGTGTGTGTGTAGCTCATCTCACCTGATCTGGAGAGCCCTGGTCCCAAGGACTCTGGCTCTCTCATACTTTGTCATGTAGGGAGTGGAGGTCCTTTCTTCGAGGGGAACTGGCTGGTCTCCCTCTGCAGCAATACATCTCTCTGTCTCCCCTCTCTTCCTGATCTAAACCTCAAGTCTTTGTTTCGTTTGTTTTTTCTAACTTACAGAACTTTTCATTGCCTTTTGTTTTTGCCTCTCTTCCACTTTCTCTTTGCCACACACACACACTCACTCTCTCTCTCCCACACTTTCCCCCAGCTCCTACCGTTAGTAATAAACTCCACCATCTCCTCCTCCTGCCCTCCCCCCTCCTCGAAATCCCCCTCTTCCTCTCCGGCGCTAAACTCGTCACCGTCCATGCTGCAAACAGCCGGTAAACCATGCAGTGTACGGACACACTAAATGACACTGGGTATATAGGGTGAACTTACTCCTCGTCTGCCATGGCTGCACTCTACTTTCCACCGCTTTCCCTCACGCAAAAAGCCAAGACCGTTTATTTACACGTGTGCAGATTCGATTCCCCGCCTATCCACCACGCCCACTTGCTGACTCAGCATAAATTAAACTGCATGCGCGTAATCACTATGTGCGCTTGCTTTGGACAATAATGACCATTAGTGAACGACAAAAGACGGCGAAGGCGGCTGGTTATGTTGCAGTGCGTGCAGAGTCTGCAGAATGGTGTCCATCTCCGACCTGAACTGAGCAATCTCCGTGTCCTTTGCCTGCACCACTCGCCTCCACTTCCGCTGCAAACACACACAGAAACAACATAGGCTTATATAGGAAGAAAAGATTCCTCAATCAGCCTTTTCGTATATGAGGATATTAAAAAAGGACCAATTATGAGGATTTGATAATTCAGTTTGTTACGACTGGACAATCAACCTGTATAATAAGAAACTCATCTACGACACCTTTTAGCACTGTTTTTTCCCCCCAACATTTCGTGTCTCCCCCAAGAGGTTTCCTGCTGGTATTGCTCTACCGGTGGCCAACCTCGACTTGCTGCATCTTATGTGTGATTGGTTGCCTCAGTCTCTCCACTCGCTGCCTCACAGCTGCCTCTGAGTCACTGATCCTGTGAGCAGAATTAAGAAAACGGGCAAACCTCTGAATAGGACACCTGAATATAGGGCATTGAAAGTCCTTTATTCATTTTTAGAGATATGGGGCAAAACAAGTGTCCTTTACTTCCTTTATCAGATGGTTCACTGCAGCTATTATATCATTGACACACTGTATAATGTATGTACCTTGTTTCTAGAGAACTGATCTTGGCTAGTAGTGATGAATAATGGTGCATTTCCTGAGAGAGAGAGAGACGGGCTGGTGTGACAGGAGCTCACGCTAGACACTAAATACAGAGTGAAACCTATGAACAAGGGACAAATAGGAGACGACCCTTATTCGGAGGAATTATCTATTGGTGTCAGGCAAAACCATGTGTCCTCTATTGAGGGAGGTGTGCTTTATTTGGAGGGACCTTTATCTGAGTTCTCACTGTTTCTAAGGACTTTAATAAAGACACCTTTCCTTATGTATGTATGTATGTATGTACAAGAGAGTGTGTGATGGTCAGCCACAGCTCACGGGGGAGTGGTGTCTCTTTGCCTCCACTAGTTGCTCTGAGAGCAGCTGCAACTGCTGACTCAGCTCCTTCTGTCTCTCCCTGGCAGCCTGGAGGTCCTCTCTCTCCTCCTCCCTCTCCTCCAGTCTCTGCTGCAGTAGATGGTGTTCCACCTTCAAAGAGAGGGAGGGAGGGAGGGAGGGAGGGAGAAAGTAGTGCTATATTTAGGTCTTTGAACGCTACCATGGCTTTGGAATATAATGGAGGAACCCCTGCAACTCGTTTATAATGGAGGATTAATGTAGGATTCCTTGCAATGCGTCGCTACAACTACACACATATACCTGAAGAGAAGATAGTTTTGATCGAAGAGAAGCCATCTCTGAGTGGCTGTGGAGTCTTGCCAGCTGGGCCTTGAGAGAGTCAACTTCAGTCACGTGACCTCGCTTTAGCGATGAAATCTGCGACAGGGGACACAGACACAATCTCAAAAATGTCCTTACAATCTGCAGGGATTTTACTGGAGAACCGTAGACAGACAAAGTACTGTACAATGCGCACCGAGGGGTAATGATTTCACTGCTAAACTTTCACAGAGAGAATTCACTCGCATAAATCGGCAGGGAAGATTTTCTAATCTCGCTCTCTTCCATTCCATTTCCCTCCCACCCTATGGGAGGTGTGAACCATCTAACCAGAGAATTGGAGTCCTCTCTGAGAGATCTTGCTCGTGCCCCTGTCTCTGCTAGTCTCGTCTCCAGCTGCAGCCGCTCGTGATCTGCCTCTATCTTGACGGCCGACAGCTGCATGTGGCGGGTTACAGACACAAGGTTACAGAGTGGAGAGTGTGTATCAATCGCTGGACAAAGATGATGGTTGCCATAGTCACTAGCAAACAATGGGGCAGTTTTCGTTCTTCAGATTCAAAATGTAAATTTTTCACAGTTTTGCTGGAACTTAGGTTAATGTAGCAAATAGCTAGACAAGTTCTTTACTACAATTCTGCTGTTTTCTGCAAATAAAACCGAATCAGCCTACACAACACTCAAAATTTCACTTTATACTTGCACAAGTCAGAGTGGAAGGCCCCAAACCTACCTGCTGCTTGATAACCTTGTTCTCTCTGATCAATGCTTTTCGCTCCGAATCGTCCTCACCTCCCACACCCCCAGCACCAGTCGGTCTTCCCTCCCTCTCTTCCCCTTCTCCCATCGAAGGCCCCATCTCACGATCATCAACACGACGTATTTTCTTCAGTTCCTCCATCAGGGAGGCAATCTGCTTCTTCTGACCAGACTAGCAACAAAAACAACAAGTGAATTGAATACGTACTTATAAACTTACGAAGAAGGAAAGAACAAAGGGTGCGATGTGCATGCGCATTGAGAGGTGATTGGGCACTTTGCTAAATTGTGATATTGACTCACCTCCACTGTTGAGTGTGCCTCCTCCATGGCTGCCATCTTCTCTCTCATCTCTTCCTCCTTTCTCCTCATCCCTTCCTCCTTTCTCCTCATCTCTTCCTCCTTCCTCCTCATGTCGTCCTCCATCTCCCTCATTCTGGTCCTCAGGTCACTATCCTCATCACCCTCTTCTTCTTCTTCTCCCTTCCCTCTGTGGTTAGTACATTGAGAGAACGTGTCAACACGACTACGGCTCTTGAGGATTGGGTCTCTGAACCATGTAACTATTAACTGGTTTTAGAGGAGATACCCAAATGTCACATCATCAGAACCGGAAAATTGAAGAACATGCTTGAAATGAGGCTGCCAAAATGTTTTGCAGAGTAACCTACTACAAGTCTATGCACTTTGCTTACAACCAATTCAGTCGTGGAATTGCCAACTTTAACAACGCTATTCTCGCTTACGCTGACAAACACAGTATGACCATACCGAGATGATTTTGTCCTCTGGCAGACGAGGTGGCAGCTAGGATGAGCGCCGACAACGAGTTGGGGAAACGCCTCCTTATGACATCATTGAGTCCGCGGACCTGTCTCTCAAGTTCCTGAACTCTCTTCTGGGAGTCTGCACCACCTGCCATCTTCTTCCTCACCCCCTTCTCTCTCCTCTGGATGGGTGAGTGAGAGTAAAATGAAATTCAGCTGTGTGCCCCACCTCTATACAGTGCCCACCTCTATACAGTGCCCACTCTATACAGTGCCCACCTCTATACAGTGCCCACCTCTATACAGTGCCCACTCTATACAGTGGAACACTCTATACAGTGCCCACTCTATACAGTGCCCACCTCTATACAGTGGAACACTCTCTAATATGGAAACCATTCATTCATAGAGAGGTGTCCTTTATTGGGAGGGTCCCTTTTCAGAGGTAGATATGCACTGTAAGGCAACGTGAAACCAAAGAAAGTGAAAGGCTATCAATCTTATTGTTGGTTCATTTTTTCTGTTATAATCACAAATCTACCATATGTGGTATCATTTCAATTTCACCAGGATCTCACTCTTGTGACTTTGTGTTTCATATGTGTATTGATCACAACTATGTTATATACCTGAGCAGCCGACAACTCTTCTTTCAGTTCCAAAATCTCCTTCTCTTTCTCCCTCAACTGCTGTTCCCTCTCTCCCTCCTTCTCTCTCCCCTCTCCCTCTCCTCCTTTCCCTCTCCCTCTCCCTTCTTCCCCTCTTCCTCCCCAATTGCTGGCAATGCTGCTGTTGAGTGACGCTGAGGCTGTGTTTCAACTGGGTCACCTTTCTTTCCAGGCCTCGGCAACGGTCCTCAGACCGTTCCAGCTGGTCCTGAGTCCGTACTAGCTCGTCCCGAGTCTGTTCCAGTTGCTCTTCTAATTGCGTTATCCTGATGATGTCATCGCTTTTTGAGGTCGTATTATCGCCGGTTGAGTCAGCAGGCTTAGCTTTGTCCCTTGTCTTAGCATCCAACTCAACTCTAAGAGAGAAAAGAAAAGATGGTCGCTATGGTGAAACAAGGGCACCTCTCTGCCCCCATACTAATACATTAGTGTGTGTGTGAATAAGGGACACGTCTATTAAGGGGCACCTCTGAATAAAAGACACTTTCGATGTCACCAAGGTACCCTTATTCACTGTAATAGTATAAAAGCATATTTCTCTCTCTCTCTCTCACTTGGTGTTAGCTAATTCAGTTCTCAGTCTTTGAGTGTCGGTTGCTAGCTTGTTCTCTGGCTGATCTGAGGGCGGACTGAGCCTCACTTAGCTGTGAGTACAGCTTCTCATTCTCCTGAGAGAGGGAGGGAGAGAAAGAGGTGAGAGAGAGAGGGAGGGAGGGAGGGAGAAAAAGAGAGGGAGGGAGCGAGGGAGAGAGGGAGGGAGGAAGGAAGAGAAACAGAGATAGGAGAAAGAGAGAGAGAGAGAGGGAAAAACAGATTACCAACACCCAAAGTATGTGCCATCTATATACGCAGATATCCAACAGAAACATTGAAAGTTTTCTTGTGCTCTGTCCATAAATACACCTGTTCTCCATTTGCATTGCTATCTGCAGTAGCATTACTATTATAGCTCCATCATATGTATAATAGGTGTATGTATGTATGTATGTATGTATGTATGTATGTATGTATGTATGTATGTATGTATGTACAGCAGTGTGCAGAGTAAAGGCACAGAGCACGTGTTACTCCAGGGGGGGAAATGGAAAGGTAACTAGTTTTCTCAACATTTCATTCATATAACAAAGTTAACGTGTAGTAGGGGCCTGTATAATGTAGCATACATACATGTGTGCATGTGTTGGTATAGGGCTTGGAAGTCAAAACTGAAACCATTAGCGTCAATGTATACACACAATCATGTGCCGTGCCCAGCGAACGTCGCCGTGTTATGTCAGCAGACTGAGAAAATGGGGAATTTCAGGTAACTGTCGTCACTTCTCACAGAACAACTTTAGCCAAGCATTACAGTGTCGTAGTAGCTACTAGACCAGTTGAGCCAGTGACTCTTAGACAAGGCCTCGAGACAGAGAGATATAGAGAGGCCGGAGAGAGAAAAACCAGTGGCAGTAGCTGACTCAGAAAAACAAGAAACCAAGAGAAGCTGCAGGCAATGGATGTAAAGAAGTCGTTGAAAACGGTAGGATTACCATCCATGCTTAGTCCTCTCTCCCCCTACTAGTAGCTAATATTATAGTGGTAGCCTCAATGCCAAAGGCCTTCTATATTCAAACAGTTGTAGAGTATTGTGTATAACTCTCAATGAGAAGTGGTAGAGTGAGTAGCTAACCAACTCTCATAGACTACCGTGGACATAATAAGTTGCAGATTATTTCAGTCTTGCTTGGTATATAGCTACTTATCCAAAGAACCAACATGTATCTTTGCCTATCACAATAGTCACTACAGTATAGACAAGGAGCTAGCAGTCTGGTATTCCTGTCACAGGTGAGGGGGTTATTTGCCGGGATCTACATCGTGTCTTGGCTGTGCTTTGTCACTGGGTTCATCATGTACTACTCCATGTGAGTCAATGCCTCTACTATCTGCATTACCTTGTTACTCTTCCTCAGTAATCCAGTCCTCTCTATCTTCCATTATTTGTCATGGCCAAAGTGCTATCGCTTCCACCTAAGTATTTTTGACCCTTCTTCCACACTTCCCCTGACCTTCCTTTCTAACGTTCTATCTGTCTCCCTTCTCTCTTCCTCCCTGCTGCCATAATTATACGTACCCTCCCTGCCCGTCTCAGTCTGGACCACATCAGAAGACTGCAGCTGATGGGATCGGCAGGGATGATGATCCTCCTGCCAATGCTCTCATTCTCAGTCCCTGGTCTCGCCATTGGCGTCCTCATTGTCTTCCACATCATCTCTCAGAGAAGCAGATTCAGGAGACATGTCTACCTAGCTATAGTCAGTTGAACGGAACTCTTACGTGAATGCCTCATGAAAAAAAATTAGCCTCATGAGCCCTCAAAAACGGATTTTTACATGAAGACATTTTTCTAATTCTCTATGAACTCATTGCCTGAGCCCTCACAGTTGTCTTTGGCACAAGTTGTTCCTAGTTGATTTCCCCCCCATCATCAGAGTAGAGGGATGCTACTGAATGTAAAAATGATGATAGCGTGCTACATGCCATACCCACCCTTTTATCCTTGCAGTTGTGCTGTTTGCGTTGCCTTACAAACATTGCCTTACTTTATCCTTGTAGTTGTGCTGTTTGAAACACACAAAGTATCCCAAGTCATAGAGGAAAGCTGCAGTCTGCCTTATCTCCCCCTCTCATGTTCTCTCTCTCTCTCTCTCTTCTTCTCTCTCTGTCTCAGATAATGTTCTTCTCTGCCCCGTACCTCGCCGGAGGAGGGGTAACGATATTCATAGCCTCTGCATTCCTGGGCACCATCAGGTATGGCTCCACGGAGGCAAATGGAGTCCCTGTCCAGTGGGTGTCTCTCATCGTGTTCTCCTGCTTCATCTCCATTGGAGCCTACGTAAGTCTCCATAACTCTTTCATTGCAGCACCATAAATTCTTTGCCTTTCTCACTCCTTTCTAGCTACATATTTCTGCTATATACCCTTTCAAATACCTCCCGTATAGCGTGAAAGGATTTTAGACAAATTACACTAGAATTTTTGAGGCAAGAACCATTTCTAGAGCTAGGTTGACAATATGACGCGTTGCCCCATTGCGCCGTGCCACGCCGCATCCTGCCGCGAAGATAGAAATGGAGTTTATCCTCGTGACGTGGCAACGCTGCACGGAGCGAAGGGGCAACGAGACATAATTATTGTAAACCTAGCCTATATAAGGCAAAAAGCTTTCTCCCTGAAAATATACCCACTCGATCCACAGTAGCTTTCTTGGAGTTTGTTTATTATTTGTTACCTTTCTCCCTACTCTCCCTCTCCCCACTCTCCCTCTCCCCTACTCTCCCTCTCCCCACTCTCCCTCTCCCCTATCTCCCTCTCCCTACTCTCCCTCTCCCCACTCTCCCTCTCCCCACCAACTATTCAGATTGTATCAGTGATTCTAGCAGTATTGTCAAACCACAAGAAGAATCTGTATGTCAGTAGAGAACTCCTCAGAACCAGTGAATACCAACCCCTCCCTTAGTAAAACACCTTCCCTCCTCTCTCTCCTCTCTTCTCCCCCCTCTCTCTCTCTCCTTTTTCCTCTCTTAAACATGTGACTTTTTTGCACTTACTACAACCAAATGGCAAAGCATTACTCTATTATACATCTATTGTCAATGTAAATTCACAAAGCATGTTTTTGCAATATATGGTGAATGTTTATTAAAATCAGCCCTCCCAACATTTCAATGTTATACTAAATAGTGAGTATTATTGCCTCCCGGACCACATCTATCTCCTGTTTTCTCACCTTCTGATATCCGAGTATTATAGTCTCCTGTTCCGCGACACTTCTCCTTAACTCCTCCCACTCTCTCTCGGAGATTGCCCCGCCCACTTTCACCCGTTCCCGTGGCGACCTCACCTGCTCCATGCTCACGATCTAAAGTGGCACGGGGGAAGCGACGAGACGTTGATAACTCTAGTGCCAAATAGCAGTGTGCCACAAGTACACTGCACGTGTCACCTACAACCCCCCTCTATACAGACAGACAAAAGTGGGAAGTCCAATATTTTTATTCTTTTACGTCCTCTGCTTTAGCTTTTACTTTTGATTCACATTTTGCTGTTTCAGAGTTTGAACACTCAGTGTATATAGCTATGTAGTGAAACCTCTGAACAAGGGGGGGCATCAAGAGTGTCCTTTATTCAGAGGTGTCCCTTGTTAAGAGGCACTAATTAGTGTAGGGCTGAACCAAGTAATGTCCTTTAATTAGTGTCTCATTTGTTCGGAGGTTCCACAATAGCAAAGAGATCTCACGGTGTTAGTGAGAGTAGCTATCTTCTGCTGTAGCTCCGCCTCTCTCTGGAGGTGACTGGCCTTCACTGCCTCTTCTCTGGCCCTGAACTCCTTCTCTCTCTCCTCTTGTTCTGACTGGACTCTCGCCTGTGGTGCCAAGAGTGACGGAGAGAGAGAGAAAAGGCAAACATCGGGAGGGAATATATAGAATGTGTGTGAAATAGGGAGACAGCGAGAACAAGTATATACACAAAATAAATGTAATGGTAGCAGGGCTGGTGCACTAGATCAGCATACTACGACACTTCACAGGGGTGCCAGAGTTGCAGTGGACATGTCCCTCTATCTCTTCATTTGTCCCCTGAATATGCTTCCCAGGGGACACTTTGACCCCCAAATAGTAGGCGTGCTGTTGTTGGGACCATCTAAAGTTGTTGCTAGGGGGCTGATTGTCCCCCAGCAATAAATCTCTGGAGCTAGCTCTGGGTAGTATACATACTTGTTGCTCAATAAGAGCCCGTTTGAGAGAGTTGACTTCAGCTTTCAAAACTTCCACCTCTCTTCCGCTCTCGCTTCTTTCTCTTTCCCCTCTTCTTTCACCTCTTCCTCCTCTGGTACTCTTACTGTCATCTCCACGGTTGAGTCTCGCTACGGAACCAGATCCACTGGTTGGCAGACCCTGTTTGGAACTGGACAAACTGGTTTTACTCCCCTTCAGACTGGGTTTTAGTCCGCCAATCAAACCAGTTGGGGCTGATCCAGACTTGTACGAACCGGTTTTAGAGCCTGACAAACCCGTTTTCAGAGCAAATGGACCACTGTTCGGAGCGGCCAAACCGGACTTACGAGTGACTGTACCAGTTTTAGTTTCATTCTGTGTTACTTCGTGACTGCTGTGTCCCTTGGCAACCAGACCACGCCTCCTGACCACACCCCCTCTCTCACTTGGCCCCACGTCTTGTCTCAGTCTGTCCCTCTGGAAGAGGAGCTCTCTAGCAATGCTGCTTAATTCTTCCTTTGCCAGAGCCCTTATGGCTCCTTCCAATCCCCCATCTTCCTCCCCCCTCCCCTCTCCTTCCCTTCTTCCACCCTTCTGAAACACTCCAGAGACACTCACGTGTTGGTTGGAAGCAGAGTCGTCCGTATCTCCTTCCATTCTAGCTGCAAGGTGTCCGGTTTCGATTGTGCCACCGATTTTTCGCTGCATTAATTTCCCTCCCAGTTCGGAAACTGAAGACATACTTTGCTGGTGAACCTCTTTCTCTCCTCCTGCTAGTCGTCCCTCTGGAGAGATGAGATCTATAGCTCTTTCACTGCTGTCTGGCTCTTTGTTCTGACTCATTTCAAACTCTGAGAAAACGTTTCGTTTGTGAGACATGACCTGATCTCTATTTCTCCCCGGTCCACTCATGGAGCTCCCAAATTCATTTTTCTGTCTCGATTGAAGCTCTCTACTCATTTTCTTCGAGACACTGCTCTCCAGTTGAAAGCTGCAATCTCTCGTGGCTGACGAAATATCTCCAGCCCTAGCTCTGTCACTAATTCCTAACTGAGTTTTCGCTGCGATGCCAGGGAGACCGGCTGCCTCTAGTGCTGCCTGCAGTTCTTTCAACTCTCGCTCCAGTCCTTCCCCAGCCACTTGCAACGCGACCTCCCGCCACTGGCAGTCCTCTCCTCCTTCCCTCTGGGGTGTGGTTTGTTTGCCGTGACTTGTCCTCTCCATCTTTTCCCCCTCCTCGTCCTCACCCTCCTTCTCTTCCTCCCTCACTCCCTTCTCCTCAACTAGTTGTCTTTCTTCCTCCCATTCCCCCTTCTTCACTTTTTCGGCTCCACCCATCCCGACTGACGACACATCACTTCCAGTTGAAAACACTTTAACCCTTTCATTGCCAGGCTCTCCAGACTCCATCAACGCAGGCAGTTTAGTAGCCACAGAGCCTTCTCCGTTCTGATTGGACGTTAAAGTTTCGCTCGTTGTTTTGGTCAGAGAAACAACGATTTTGTTGTCTGTTCTTTCATCTTCTTTCCCTGGTTCAACTGGGGCTGATGAATATTGACTCACACTTTCTCCTAGCACAACGCTCTCTGCGTTAGCCTCAGTCACAGTGTCCTCAGCTTGATTGGATGAAGCATCGCTAGCTTGTGGGAGGGAGGGACTCAGTTTTTCATCTTCTCTCTCCGGCTGTACACAGTCTCGATCTCCAAGTGTCTCTGTTCCAGAAACACAACCTTTCATCTCAACCACTGCTACGGAAGACCCCACCTGCTGCACATGAATATCTAGATCACCGACTTCAACAGGCGATTCACTAGCAGCTATTGGTAGAGACACACTGTTTGTGACTGCAGCCTTCTCTTCTCTCTCTGGCTGAACTATGGGCGAGGTTTTACCTTCTTCGGTTGGTTTATGAGACTCTGCGATAGGTATGAGAGGTAGACTGGCAAATCCCTGACTCCCTCGCTACTCTTTCTCCTTCTCTTCAGCGATAGAGCTGTTTGTTTTGGTCGTAAGGATCTGCGACTGGCTTGGAAGAAGCTGCAATAAACCAGATGAGGAAAAATCGAGACTGTTTTTGTTACAGTGAGATGTTTTTGATCTCCACTGGACGCTAATCTGAGGTCTGATTCAGTCCACGTTTTTCCAACTTGACTTGATAATCCTTCGCCTTTCGCTTTCAGTTCAGGGACGCAGACAACGGCCGTGGTATTAGGAGAATGATGGAGTATTGGTTCGTTAGATCTGGTAATAACAGGGGCTTCCTCGCTGGGAGGAGCAATCATTCTCTGTGTGGAACGGGTTGAGGAATAAATCTGCTGGTCTGTAGGTGGGTTTACTGAGAGTCTGGAAGGAGACAGACGTGGGTTTTCAGGTGTGGCTTGATCTTTATCTGTTTCATCACTTTCACTCCACTCGTCTTCCTTTGCAGTGTGTTTGGTTATGGACGAGAGACCTGATTGGTTGAGGCCCGACAAGTAATGTGATTGGTCCAGTCGACTGCTATTGGATAATCCTGATTGAAAATGAAAGCAGAAAAATATTTTTAAAAAGGCTGTAGCATCAGCAAAGATAAATGTAAGGAAGGATCTAGCATAGAAAAAAATATTGTTGAAAAAAGAAAAATTTAAGTATCCTTCGAGCCGGATTCGAACCAGCGACCTATGGATGTCAGCAGCACCACTACAGTCCACCGCTCTACCAACTGAGCTATCGAAGGAGCTGATAGACATGTAAGGGATTTCATGCTTATAAAGAATGACTGGTGGGCTGCATAAAGACTTACCAGAAGCAGCCGAATCCTGGAAGTCTTTCCCTGCACTGAAAATTTAAAAAAGCAGCATCCTTTATCCAGCACACATAATATGCTTTAGACGTACCTTTCTGGTCTTTGAGTTGAAGTACTAGTTGAACTGACTGCAGAAAGAGAACAATTTGAAGCAACTCATACGTACAGTTGAACATTACTTATCTGCAGATAAACCCTTGCTTCAGGGTTGCATGTTTCTCGATATTTGAAAAATGCTGATGACACGCAAAAATGTATGTATGTATAGGTCAGACCCACCCCTTGTTTTCTAGATATATGATTTTTTTTAGTGGGATTAATGGGTTTGTCTGCCAGGCCACTGCTTACCTTCAATACTATCCTTGGAAAAGTCAGAGCTGTAGGTGACAGTCGTACTCTCCTCTTTCTCTCCCCCTCCCACAGACTGGGAGCTTGGTATGGACAGTTCTAGCCTCGTCGGTCCTTCACCTCTCTTTCTTCCACCACCTCTGCCCCTTCCTCCTCCCCCTCTTCCTCTGTTCATGCCTCCAGCACCATGGCCAGGCACCTTGAGCCACTGGTGACCTGCTGATTCTCCATCTTCTTCATCTCCTCCTCTTCTTCTCTAACTGAAGAGGGAAGTTTCTTGAAGCTGGGGTTGTTTCTAGGTGAGCGGGCCGAGGCAGACGAGGACGAAAGAGACTGCAGATGTATAGAAAAGAGGATGCTCTTGAACTGTAGTTCAAGTTCGAGTCAGTAATGATGATTTCCCCGACAATGCAGGGCTAAGGCACGGTTTAGGGTTACTTACTTGCTGCAGGAAGCGTTCGAATTCGCTGTCGTCTTCGTCAGAAGCTGCCATGTTCAGCCAGAAGAGCTCTAACACCTTCACAGACGTAGAGAGTTGCAAGAGACAACGCGAACAGCCACACCACACAGCCGAAAATCGAAAAAGCCGCGTATGCAATGACCTTTGAACTTCACGCATCCGGAGACGTCGTATATAAGAGGATCGAGAGAATGGAGGAAGTTTCGTCTGCGGAGAAGGTTCCAGAGACCTCTGAGGAGCAGGGTGAGGGGCGAGAAGAGGAGGAGAAGGCAGAAGAAAGTGTGAGCGAGCCGGCAGAGAAAGCGGACGATGAAAGAACAGACGAGAAGTCCACGGAGAGCGAGACTAGGCGCGAGGGAAAAGAAGGCGAGAGCGGGTCAGGCTCTGAGGAAAGCGAGGAGGAAGAGAAAGACGACGGAGGTGGTGAGGAGGACGCTGGTCAGATGATGGCCAGTAGAGAAGAGAAGATGGCAAGACTGAGGGAACTTCACAGAAGAAGAGTAAGCCACATGCCACCTCTACTAGTGGGTGTGGTTTGAGAGTTGCAGCTCAGTACTAAGTCCCATTCAGTTGGAGGCGAGGCAACTGAACCATCGTGAGGTGGTGGAGGAAGACAGGAGAAGCAAGCTGCCAGCCAACTGGGAGTCACGGCAACGCAAGGTGGAGTGGGAGGAGGAGGACGAGAAGGCCAGACAGGTACGTGGGGTGGGGTGGGGGGGACAATGCCAGTGTCCTCGTTCAAAGGCCCTGTCCAGAATGTGAGTCTTGACCAGGGCCACTAATATATCCACATACTGTAGAGTCTCATTGTACAGAACACACTTAGTACGAAATCCTGTATACTATGTATGTACACACACCCTCAGAGCCTAGCCCTATAGAACACTACATTTTCGCCACACTTATGACAAATTCCCCTTACTCTGAGCAAATTCTTTAGGTCCCCAGCATTTCATTAGAACGAGACTCCACTGTAACTAGCAACTCTTCGTGCATTTCCGACTAATATGCACTGCATAACTCAAAATTTTCACGAGTTTCGCGTATTTTTTCAAACACCGTCCATGGTGCAAGTGATTCTCAATTCTTAAACCCTTCCCACGTTCAGGCCCTACTAACAATAGGCACCACTGTAAATCGCCTTCTCTCTCCCTTCCCCCCAGGAAGCAGAGGCAGCCGGAGAGGACTACGAGAGAGAGAAGATGATGAAGACGTCGGCCTCGGAACTGGAGAGACTCCAGCGGAAAAAGAAAAAGAATCCCGATCCTGGCTTCACTGGTGAAATACTCACTCTCGGCATTGTTCGTATTAGTGCATTACTGCTGAACCATCATAGACTATGCCCAGGCACAGTTGAGAAAGTACGAGAGGCTGACTAAACACATACAGCCAGACATGGAGGCCTACCAAGAACAGAAGTTGGAGATGTAAGCAACTTATATACAGCAGGAATGTCTATACCTCATGACTTTCTGGGCACAGAAGTCGGCTCGCACTGTTCAATTCACAGCTGTTTTCCTTCAAATTCGAAGAGATGTTGGATACGTGTGGAAGGCACTCTTGTAATAATGAGTATATACAGAATACAGAGAATTAGAGTCCGGCTGACCGGACTGTACGCGAATTAGAGTCCACTCACGAACCAATCAGATTGCGCGATTACTTAGCTCTATTTCCCTCCCCGTCCCCTCACTCCAGGGGGGCAGATTTCTACCCGGGGGTCAACAGTCTCACCCATGGAGGAGCTGGGAAAGTGTCCAAAGAAGCCCTAGAGAGAATGACTCAGGACCTGGCCAAACAGTCAGTTACCACATGCCACACATCTCTCTCTCTCTCTCTTCATTTTAGTGGTCATTAGGTGCAAATTTCTGTGCTGGTGAAGTTAATAAAGTTAACCTTTGATCCACAAATGTTGAGACCTCAAAGAATTAGTGGATTGTCTTTCTACTTTTCTGGTGTTGTAGCTACATGTTGCACCTTCTCTTTGTATAAAACCCCAATGTTCCCTCTGTGTTTGTGTTTGTTATAGAGTTGAGAAGAGGTCAAAGTTCAGTCGTCGTCGCCCGCACGCCGACAACCAGGATGTTGATTACATCAACGACAGGAACATGCGATTCAACAGGAAGGCTGCCCGATACTACGACAAGTATACGGCGGAGATAAAACAGAACCTTGAGAGAGGAACTGCCATTTGAACACTCTTATATACCTGTAACTATGTACATATGGGTATTATACATGACACTTTCCACACTTGTTTTTTGAAACCATTTTGTTTGAAAATTGGACTTGTATTCACTACTGTTCCTCAATGTCGGTTTCAAATTGAAAAGTCTAAAGGAGGCGACTGCTATATATAGTGGCGCTCCCAAAAATATTCATTACAGAAGAGGGGAACGATAGAACGAGACACAGACACACACAATAATGTAGAAGATGAATCGTTTGTTTCATATATGTAGATGCAGGAGGAGGAACCTGATTAGTATTAGAGAGGAGTCAGTACATGTGAAGAGCTACAGTTCAGGTCTCTGTAGACACATCTTCTTCCTCAGTGGCTCCGTTTCGTCCACCATCCCTCTCTTTCCACACACGACATGGGTGGCTGGGAGAGGCGCGATGGGAGGGAGGGTTTGGCTGGGTTGCAGTGGTAGTGAAGAGAGTGAAGGTTCAGAGGAGGGATTACTGCTATGGTGATGGAGGCTGGAGTTGAAAAAGAGAGAGTCTGACTCGTTCGGTTTTAGTCTTGATGTCCGAAAGTTAGGCGTCAGATTATTCTCAGTTTCCATTTCTTCCACACCACTGCTGCTCAGGAGAAACGAAGGAGAGGAGGAGTAAGGATGATAGGTTGTGGCTCGGACCTCGCTCGAGTCATCGTAGTCACCCCAGCTGCTCGCTGTCCCCTCACTGATATGTTCCCGCCTCATGGAGAGCTCCAAGAGATACTCTGCCTCGTAGCAAGCAGCCAAGTGGTGCTCGTAGTGCAGCAAGCTCTCCATGTCCAGTTGAGACATGCTGGAAACAACCCTCGCTGACAACGAATCGTCTTCTTCGCAGTAGACGGGCTAAGCTTTTACGCTTTTTGGCAGATTGTGTTTTGGAGTGCGCGATAATTAGAGTTTACGGCGCGCGCCGCGCCCACCCACGTGTGCTACAAATAAAGCTACCTAGCTAGGGAGCTTTTGCATTTTCTAAGAGTATGGGTCGCTCTAGGCGGACGAAAAGCGGCCCACCGACCGTCCGAGGTCCAGGGAGGAAGTCGAGGAAGCAACGGGAGCCAGTCCTACCTCGCGGCTTGCAGCAGGTATCACGTGAACACGGTGAGTGAGATTCGTCTCCCTTCAATACAACTCTCTAGTCCAGCTCGTCTCTCCCTCTACGTCAGGTCTCGGAGTGAGGAAGTTAGTGGGCGGACGGATACGACAGAGAGCGAGGCAGAGAGCGATGAAACAGGCCTTGAAGAGAGCGTGGGAAGAGAGGGCCGCTGAACGGAGAAAGGTGAGCCTCATACCCTCGGCTACTGAATACACATGCAGTTGTACATACGCTCCAGAGCAGCTGGTATATAGAAGGACATAGAGTGTAACTCAACATTGACTTCATAACCTTGATTCACATTGCACTTGGTATACTTACAGGCTTTGTGTATAATATAATAAAATGTCAGAGCTAATTGTGAATTTCGCCGTAGTAGCAATATTACTGACAATATCTTGAAATGTTTCGTCCTAGTAATGTGCGTCATAGAAATACAATGAAATCCGTGCCGTCTTGTGTGTACTGCACGACACACAGTTTATACATGCAAACGTAGTTGTAATCATACATCTCACCAGATGACGCGGACGGTATTCTGTCCATTGTCCAGTATGAAACAATTCTATGCTTGTACACATGAGTCAGCTTTTATTCCTGTGTGTTCCCTTGCAGGCCAAGGAAAGAGAGAGAACTGTGCAGAAACAGCAAGAGGAGGAGGAGGAGGAGGAGGAAGAGGGGGAAGGTTCGGGAAGCGACGTGGTGTCATCGCCTCCTACAACTCCAACTGGCTTCTCTGACCAGAACAAGAAGTGGCTCAAACCGGCTGGGAAGAAGACAAAGAACAAAGAGAAGAGGAAGGCTGGACACAGCCTCTCCCAGAAAACCGATCTCCCAAACGGAAGTGGTGGAGACAGCGACCATGAATCTGGTGAGAGACAACCGAATGAAGTTTTGATGTCGAGTCAAAATTTATGGGTTACAATAAAATAAAATTTGTTTGAAAAGTTTTACTTGCCAATCTCTGCTGGTTTGTTTTCTCTAGAGAGAGAGGAAAATGGAAGTTTACCTGAAGACCAGAGCGAGGGAGGGAGCGAGGAAGAGGAACAACTGTACGATACTAGTGAAGACGAGAATTTCAGAGAATTAATGATGAGCAGCAGTGATTGCAGCAAGGAGGAAGAAGAGGGGGAGGAGGAGGAAGAGGAGGAGGATGAACTGGAAATTGAGAAGAAATCAAGAAAGTTGGATCGTCGAAGAGCCAGAGACAGGCAGCTGGAGAAGGAAGAGATGGTTTCCGGGGAAACGGAGATCTACCACCTCCCTACAATGGAGGAGATGGAATCCGAGGAATGCCTGGATTTGGCCGACATACAGCATCGCATACGAGAAATTGTCCACGTCCTGTGCAACTTTTCAAAGTTGCGTGAGCCGGCCCGACGACGTCCAGAGTATCTCGCCGTGCTGGCTCGCGACCTTTCGACCTATTACGGCTACAACGACTTCCTGGTGTCAAAGATGATGCAGCTGTTCCCAGTCTCGGAGCTGGTGGAGGTGATGGAGGCGTGCGAGACTCCACGGCCGGTCACGATCCGCACCAACTCCCTCAAGACCCGGAGGAGAGACCTCGCCCAGGCGCTCATCGCTCGCGGGGTGAACCTTGACCCCGTCGGAAAGTGGTCAAAGGTGGGTTTGGTCGTGTACGACAGCCCAGTTCCAATTGGAGCCACCCCCGAATACCTAGCGGGTCACTACATGCTGCAAGGTGCCTCGTCCTTGTTGCCTGTAATGGCGCTTGCACCCCACGAGAACGAGAAGGTTCTGGATCTCTGTGCCGCACCCGGAGGAAAGGCTAGCTATATCGGAGCCCTGATGAAGAATACGGGTATGCTTATGGCAAATGACGCAAACAAAGATCGCTGCAAGGCAGTGGTTGGAAACTTGCACCGACTCGGTATCCACAATTCAATCGTCTGTACCTACGACGGTCGGAAATTCCCAAAAATCATGCGCGGATTTGACCGAGTTCTGTGTGACGCACCCTGCAGTGGTACGGGAGTCATTTCGAAAGACTCGTCAGTCAAAACGAGCAAGGGTGAGGAGGACGTTGAGAGGTGCTCTCGGCTCCAAAAAGAGCTCATTCTCGCCGCAATCGATTGCCTCGATGCCAAATCCTCTTCTGGAGGCTACGTGGTGTACTCAACCTGCTCGATATTGGTGGAGGAAGACGAGAGTGTGGTGAATTATGCTCTCGGTAAACGACACGTGAAAGTGGTACCAACTGGGCTCGATTTCGGGGTGAACGGATTTACAAAGTACCGCGAGAAGAGGTTTCATCCGTCTTTGGTTCACACGCGACGGTACTATCCACACACCCACAATATGGACGGGTTCTTTGTTGCCAAACTGAAGAAACTTTCCAACGGAATCCCTAATGCTGTCAAGGTTGAGCAAAGTAAGGCAGAGGAGAGGGCAGCAGTAGTCAAGATATGGAGAGTGAAGATGGGGAGGAAGAAGAGGAGGGAGTGGAGGAGGAGGAAGAGGAGGGAGGAGGAGGAGGAAGAGGAGGGAGAGGAGGAGGAGGAGGAGGGAGCTAGTAGGAAAGAGCTCTTTGATGACTCAGGGGGTCCGCGAGGGAGAGCAGCACGTGACGGAGAAGAGGAAGAGGAGGAATATGAAGAAGAGGAAGGAGAAGAGGATGAAGACACGGACACAGAATATTCCGTTTAGATTCCGTAATTTTTCTCCGTGTATCATGTTCAACAAATTCCGCAATCTTCTCCGTAAACTAACGCTCAATAAACGCTCCGCCCACACTATGCATGGGCAGTTCAGTGCAAGATGCAATGGCAGCATCACAAAGACACGCCATAGACATCTAGAGACGCCTCCTCTCTCTCTGGTGGCCGGTAGCTATAACTAAAAGCCATGGCGACGAGCAACGGGGCGGAAGAGGCGGGGGATCTGAGTGCGGCTGCAATGTGGGGCGACAAAGAGCTTCTGGAGAGCCTTCTGAAGGGCGGCGCGGACCCAGACTTCCCTAATGCCCAGGGAGACAGCGCTCTCCACGAGGCCGCCTACTACGGAGAGGTTGAGTGTGCCTCCATACTGCTAGACCACAAAGGTAGGGTGGGGAAGGGGAGTGGTGGGCTGGCTCAGCTGGTTGGCGTGTATGGCCTTGGGAACTGGGAGGGTGCATGCCTTAGCTAGAAAGCAAACTGCCTGGTGCCCAGTGGAACACTTCCCTGAAATGAGGACACCTCTAATACGGTTTCTCCAAGAGCAGTTCTTGCATGCATTAACCTCTGAAATAAAGACCCCTCACTAATATGGACACTTTCTTCTGTCTGGTTGGTGTCTGGATTGGAGGGGTTCCACTGTATGCAGTGGTGTGTGAGGCTATCATCACATGCAAGCCATTGTTTCAACAGCTCACATAATACCATAGAGCTGCAGGCCTTAGCTGTGTGCAACTGGTGCTTGATGCATACACGATTAATGTGTGTATATGCCATCCACACAAACACACAGTGACTGGGAGTTTTGGTATTATTCACTGGTTCAGCTAGAGGCAAGTTTGTTCGTGGTCTATTGTCCTTAAAAGAGCCCGCCATGTTTGCAACAGGTTGAGGCATGTTTCTTGACTTTTGCTCTAAGTACACTCTCTCTTAGTAACTCTTGTACACTGGAACCTCTGAATACGGGACACATTTGGGACAACTGTACACGGGAACCTCTGAATACGGGACACCTGTACACTGGAACCTCTGAATACGGGACACCTGTACACTGAAACCTCTGAATACGGGACACCTGTACACTGACACCTCTGAATACGGGACAACCGTGGGACACTTGTACACTGGAACCTCTGAATACGGGACAACCTTGGGACACTTGTACACTGGAACCTCTGAATACGGGACAACCTTGGGACACTTGTACACTGGAACCTCTGAATACGGGACAACCTTGGGACACTTGTACACTGAAACCTCTGAATACGGGACACCTTTCGGACACCTGCACACTGGAACCTCTGAATACGGGACAACTTTGGGACACCAAAAGTGTCCCTTATTCAGAGGCCTTCCTTTTATGGGGAAGAACCACAGTGTCGTGACTGCTAACCAGGCGGTCTTTTCCCAGTATAATCTCTGACTCATTCATAGTGAAACTGGTGGCCCTTTCACCTTTTTTGTGTTCCTCTCGGGAGCTACTTAATACATGTTTTCCGACAGGGAATAAAGATTTGTTTTTCTTGTTTTATTTTATGCAGCGAACGTCAATATTGTTGGCGCAGGTGGAAAGGTGAGGCCAAACTTGTACTCCTACTTCTGTATATACCGTGCCAAGTTTTTAAAAATGTTCATCGATTGCTAAATATTCCATGAATTACTTGTTATTGAGTAGATATCATTACAGTTAAATTACTTGTATATCAGAGAGTCGGTAGACTCTCTATATAGGGATGACACGGGTGAAATCTCACGTGATCCGCGTACAAAACGACTAAAAACTCGGTGAGAATCACTCCCTAGGCCTTCAAAACATACTAGCAATAGTCTACGG